TTCTCTCCCACCCTCCCTCCCCCCGCTGCCGCCGCACAGGCCCGCCCCTCGCGCCGCCCCCGCTCCCTCCCGAACCCCGCCGCCGCTCCCTCCCTCCTAAAACCACCCGAAACCGCGTTCTGGAGGAGAGCAATGGTTTCCATCGGCACTTGGGATCTCATGCGTGAAGCCGTCTTCTCGCTCGGTGGACATCGCTCGCCGCCGATGGTACCTTGCGCGGCGGATCTCGCTCGCCGCTGGTGTGACCTTGCGCTCCGGGCAGGTCCGAGGCACTGCGTGACCTCGTGTGCCGGGGCAGGCGCGGGCCGCTCCTCCACCGTCGTCGCTTGCGCCACGGGAGCGCTGCTGTCCGGGTAGGCGCGGGTCGCTCCTCCTCCGCCGTCGCATCTTGCGCTCTGGAATCACCTCGCGCTCCTGTGTTGGCTTGGTGCTCCGGCGCCAGCGGAGCTCTTTAGCAGCCTCGCAGTGGAGCTAGCGCGCAGGCTCGCCGCCGTGGAGCTCGCGCCCAGGCTCGCCGTGGCGCTCGTGGGCAGCCTCGCCGCGGAGCTCGCAGGAAGGCTCGCCGCCGTTGAGCTCGCGCCCAGCCTCGCCGCGGCGCTCGCGGGCAGGCTGGTGGTGCGACGGGCGGAGGGGCGCGCGCCTGCGGTGGAGCCGGCCTCGCCGGAGCGGGAAGCGGTGGGTGCAGGGGTAGCAGGGGTAGGAGGAGGAAGGGCAAAAATGTCTTTGTTCAACAGTACTTATTGCTTTTAGTCACTTGTAGGAGGTGGAACCAAACATATTTTTAGGAGGTTTTAGATGGCTGCTAAAAGCTCCTAAATCTTTTAGCTCCAAAAAATTTTAGGAGGTGGGAACTAAACAGGGCCTGAGTTACAGTGCAGATGGGAATGACATCAGCAGGCGGTTTAGTATGGAAAGGGAGATCTTGATGTCCATGGATTTCCCACGTTAACTTGGGTCACTTTGTACTCCCTTTATAATGTTTATAGATGTAATTATTAGTGTTCTATCATCTTAGATAGCTACATGCCCATTTTCATGTTAACACTAAACTCTCCGTGCCTTCCATTTAAGCTTTCTTCTGAGTCAGGGATATATGCCAGCTATATTTTTGCTCAACCAATTTGGAGGCTAGAAGCATAGAAATACAATATCTATCTCCTTATTGGTAATGTGATACTCTACTTTGGTCCTTTCATTGAAACGGTGGTTGCGCCTGCCGTCGTGCAGCCAGCCCACCCTGGTTCCATTCTGTCTTGGATAAACTAGGATGTCACAAAGGTTTTTTCCCAGAGGGGACCAAGCATGTGTAATTGTATGGTGTGCGTGAGTTGTGCATGGTAGGCATGCTCTGAGTCTGTTAGTTTTTATCTGTGTTTAAGCGTGCAGTCGATATGAGTGTTGCTAGAAAAGTTATGTGTATGAGTGTTGCTAGAAAAGTTATGTGCATAAGTTACATTGTTTGTAAAATTTATTATATAAAAGGTCATGTACAAATAATTATTGTGACAAGTTATCTATAGAATTAAATAAAAATATATTAATAATGTTATGGGAAGAAGTTGTGATCATAAGTTTTTTTGTCTCGCAGAATGTTATACACAAAACACTAGTATAGAACGGCGAGCACCTGTCGTGCCTCTCTCTCTCCTATGGTGCCACTGCATTGCAGGGAGGAAATCATTAGCCGAGACAGACTGCCAAAACATGTTCAAAGAAGTGAGATGTCAAAGAACATAACATAACCATGAGCACAAACTCACCTAGGCCTGCCTCCATGGCCCGAGCATGCTGTGGCCGCGCGGCCCGCACCGAAGCGATCCACACATATCGTGGCCGCGATGAAGCCTGCGTCGTTGTGCCCGCATGTGGCCCGTGTATTGTAGTGTATCAGGCCTATGCCGATAGGCCCACGTGTGGCCCACGCCTCCTCCAGAGAGAAGATAGAGCGAGAGAGAGCAACGAGATAGAGAAGAGTGGTTCTCACGCTTGGAAAAATCCATCGTGCTGTGTCCCACCTTCTTGTTTTGCCATGCAAATAGTGTTCAGAACGGTGGTTCACTTTAACATGCGCCTGTAAAAATAAAAATAACAGTTATAACGGTAGTAGCTTAAGTTAACAACCAGTATAAATGTGAATATTTTTACTTGTGGTAATCTTACGATAACTGTCAACGAAACTTAATCTCCACTTACGGTTCATAGCCATGGGCCTATACTTAGATTTGTAACGGTGTTTGTGCTTTTTTGACCGTAAGTGAAAAAAATCATAGCATCAATAAAAAAACATTTCTATCCTAGTAACATTTATGAGTATAATTTTGTAACTTTTTAAAAAATAAAGAAGCGCGGAGGTTTATATGATGGAGTTCATTGATTTTTTGTTCAAGCGAGCGAGGGTCAGAGTTAGTTCTACGTTCTTAAACTGGAGGTCTCATTGGTGTGGTGGGTGAGACAAGAGTGATTCCATCAGCTAGAGCAGCCAGACAATAACGAGCCAGCTCGCTCGGCTCGTTCAGGCTCATCAAGATAAAACCAGAAGGCCAGCTTGTTTAGAAGCTCGAGCTGACTCATTTAGCTCATGAGCCAGGTATATTCATATCGAGCTACGAGTTTTTCGTCTAGCCCTACGGACGATTGACAGGGATGTAAAAAGAACGGCTCGTTGGAGATGGGTTAGCAGAGTATGAGTAGGGTAGTGGTGTTTAATTGAGTGCGAGATGTTTACATTTTAGATGAAAATAATCAGCAAAGTCAGAATATGTTTTCTGATTTGTTTTTGGGTGAGGGTTCACAACATATGAACATATGTTGGTTGTTGGGTCATTTTCCTTTTATTGCCAAATACCGTAACTTGTATCGTTTCATGGATAATACACAAGTTCTGGGGGCAGATATTGGAGTACACAACTCCGGCCTGTCCCTGTATAAATATCTACAAAGTTTCAGACTTCGAGCAATAATCTTGATAGGGCCACTAATGAGCTCGTGATACGCGTGCAACCAGAACTAGATAGAAGCGACTATTTTCCCAGCAGTTTTACATCTCTAAACATAGGCACTCCCTACATTTTTCAAATATATGATGATGTTTAGGACTACAACCGACTCTAGGAGTAGGTCAAATAAAAAGGAACAGATGGGGCGCTCTAGCAGTTCACAGTTTTATTTCCTCTGTTTGTGTCATTTTCCCAACCTTGCTGCTTTTTCTTGCTACTACTAGTTGCTATACACAAATCAGGTTACCCATTGATGTATCACAACTTGCCTCAAGTACTCGAAGGAGATACCAGCTGTTTATTTTCTATATCTAACAAGTATTACTTGCTTGTGGACTTCTCAAAATAAAAGCTTTATACTCAACAATCATCTGGAAGACACTTGCATAATGGTCTTATATACAAAATAAAATGGCTTCCTCCGTGAAAAGGCGAACTCAGGGTGCAGCAAATTCGTATGCAATTTAATTTTTAGGTCACAAGGCCATTGACATGGACCATGATCAGTATACAGTAGTACAGTACCTCGAAATGAAACATAGTAACGAACAAAAACATCGTGCACATATCATGTTCAGGTATAAGTGTATCTCCAATTCTCCATTTACGCTAGAGCCACAAGTGAGCATCATGTACTTGATAGAACAGTCAGCCAGGCCATATGTATGAAAAATCCATATAAACAGAAAGAATGGAACAACAGGGCACCAGACCAGTTCAAACAACTCCCAAGTCGCACAACAAGAACACACCTATAATGGTGCAACTGTAACTTCAGCCAACCCTGACACAAGCAGAAAGTTTATTTCACATTAACACCCTAGTACCTTCTGGGCTTGGATTTGGATGGCTGTGAGGGATCTTCCTTCCTGAAAATTCCACAGAACATGCACCGTGAGACCTTGGGTGAAGGCGGATCTAAAGCAGGTAGAACAGCATCAGCAGCGCTACCCCATGATCCCTCTGGTTCTTGTCCCAGACCAAACCTGATGAACCAGACCTCCTAAATGTTTGAGAAGATCTCTGCAGCTCTGCCATCTCCACCTCACTTTTCTATCTTGCACCCCTCTTTTCTAAATGTTACTAGGGTATACACCTATGGAGATGGAGTCCTATGGGGTACAATGAGGACTGCTGCGTGGAGAAAATGGTGTATTGTCCAAACCAATAATAGACATGCATATGAAGGAAAGGTAACCATAGCAAGAGTCAGATGGGCGGTGACAAGTGCGGGGGTCTTAGGTAGGATTTAGGGAGATTGTAAGTCTGTGCAAAACGTTGACATATATGCCCCTCTATCTATTCGTGCTAACAGCGTGGTACTACTTGAAACACCCCCTTTCTGTTATAAGAGCCAACCAAATAATAGCTATTTGCCTGAGTAAATTAACATCTAAGGTAGTAGAAGTAGCAAATTATCTGTCTCTTTGCACACAAATTCGTTTTTTTTTAAACATCTGTAATGGTGGTAAAAATGACAAACACAAAAACAGGTATGCACCCAATGAACCGAGGATACTATTTAGCATCACTAAATAAAACACACATGTTCTTGTTAATAGTTCCATGCATGCAAAATCCATTAACCATCATCTTAGGAGCACGACAAGTTTGACCAGGCACTAAGGAAGACATAGTTTTTTTTCTTGCTTATAAATAAGCTGATATGACATAAGTAAGAAAACCTACATAGAAGGTTCATCACTGTTTCACAGAGTGAAAGGATGGAATCAAGAGCGCGACAATAATTCATCTCCAGCGAGTGATAACTTACAGTTAGCATTTAGTAACACAAAACAACAGGAGGTTTAACGTCATCTGCTAATCGTGGCAGTAAGTAAAGGTAATTCCAGAATAGACCCTTCTTCCTCTTCACACAGTCAAACTCACCATCATGTTAACAATTTTGTCTGCAGATCACAGAATTGTCAACAGTTTCCATGCTCTTTAACAGAAGTATTTCCATGTTGTTTGTTATGATAACAAAAGTGGCTGTCAATGACATCATTCTGAGTTCTGACCAAGTTGATCATGTTGTAAATACTTGCTACAGCATGATTCCCTATCAACAGAAGTCCTCCCCTTAACCTTGAGAAGCTCACTCAGAGATTTGGGCCCCTCAAAATCATTTGAGGACGATCTCCCATGAGGCATGTGAACAGTGGGATGACTAGCACTTGACTTGGATCTACACTTCTCTTCTTTTATCTGAGCAAGTGTCTTTGGACCCATAAAATCTTCAGAAACCAGGTGCTTCACCTTTGCAGTAGAATATTTAGATGATCTAGCAGAACGAACATGGCGTTGTTTTCTTTTACTTCTCTTCTTCTGTCCTCTGAAGGTTGCACAGGCAAGAGGCGGAGAACAATCTCCTCTCAATGAATTTTGCATGTCATGAGTTGGTCTAGTGTCAATCTCTTCGGAACCATTCCTGGCTTCATGAATACGACATCTCTTATTGCGGTCATTGTTGCCCTTAGCACCTCTTCTCTCAGGTGGTCGCTTTGAAATGCGTCCAATCTGAGAGTTCTGGTGATCAGAGCCAGAATGTGATCCCATTAAGCTTCTTGGATTGAAGAATCTTGGTACATGCTCTTCACAAGAGGGATTTACAAGATTTATTCTATTATGCAATATATGTCCTGAAGTAGTCAAACAGTCATGCCCTTGAACTCCTTCAAAATAATCAAGACAACTGCCATGCTCAAAGCCATGAAGTCCTTGCTCCTTGTACTCTGCATCATGATAATCCAGACCATAAACAATGGAGTCTCCGACACGATGTTTCACGTGAAGCATCTCAGTGTCCCTTTCTTGTGTGGATTGATGCTCAAGATCAATCATGTTAGAAAGTCCGTCATCCACAAGAACATCAAATCCAGGGGAGGAATCACGTGATATATCTTGTTCAGCATGTTCAATCGCTGAATCTTCTGAGCTCTGATCAGACAGTGTGGAGCTTTTCATGTATCCCACTGTATCAATTGTTGTTTGAGGTGCATTGAGAATAAGTCCATTATGTTTGGGACTGCTTGAGGCTGGAAGTCCTGACTGGTAGTCCTTTGTGCGGTCAGGGCTTCCTTGGCAAGGATTAGCAAGAGCATCTTTCGATGATTCAATCATCTCATTTCCAGCAGGATTGCTATTTTTAGCAAGATTAGAAGTGAGAGCTCCAGAAGAAATCCCAACAACATCGTTACGAGTTATAGGCTCATGTAGGAAGGGACAATTGTCACCTTTCTTACAATATGAGTTGTAGTAGAAATAACAAGGATTAGCTGCCTTGATAGAAGCAGAAGCATACGAGAGAGGTGGATCTGCCAAGGGTTTGGTTCGGTTTATGCTTTCCAATGGCTGCAACATAAGGGCGTAGTGAGATAACATGCACCATACAAAATTACATAACCAGAAAGCTAATGAGAAGCTAAGGTCCAGCAAGGCAAAAAAAATAGATCTAGAGTCAATAATGTAAACCACAAAGTTAATTCAATCGATGTATTACGAGCGAAAATTAACAAATAGACATACAGTATCGAGGTTATTATTAGAGCAGAAATACCAGATACCACGGCCTCCTATGTGTAAAATAGGAAATGAATTAATGGACACAAAACAAACAAAATCAAATTAACCACTGGGTCAACTGAACCTCATTTCCTTCCCTGACCTCATTTACACATCAGCAGTGCAACACGGAATCAGTCAATGTTGCTACAGAGAATTATTAATTTCAACCAGCATGCACAGGATAGTAGAACCAATGTTCTATGTTCTTAGAGAATCCATTGGAGATAGTCTGGGCTGGCTGTATGCAGACTAAATTGACTCACAGACATTGCAACTGTTTTAAAAAAAACAGATCACAGTAGGCCCATTAGCCCAGAGCACTGCCATCTAATCTTTCTTACAAACAACACATCTCCACAAAGTATGTTTCTTTAAAGGCTCCACAAATAAGTCAACCAAGCGATAACAGCACAAGCTTGGCAATTGCATCCATCAACTAACAAATACCGAACTGAAGCCCAATCTCTACTCACGGTACACAGAAACCACAAGTCCACAACAACACAGCGTATCATCACAGCATCCAAGAAATTGAACTCAGCGTGGACAGGCTCCGATCACTCACGGGGTGGCGGAAAGTGCAGCTCGGGTTGACGCAATTGCCTGGAAACCAGTACCAGCAGCTCTGGTTGAACCGTGCGCCCTCGCAGTGCCGGAACTCGCAATTAGCCCCCTGCAAAGCAAAAGTGCAAAACCCCATACACGACGCACGGAGCAAGCGAGAATCCGATCAGCCACTAAGCCAACAAACCAACCAACCAACGGCCCCCCCGGCGGCTCCAACTACAGTTCGCCGGTGGAGAGGCACGGGAACACTAGAAATGGCGGCGGCGGAATTGGGGTTTTCGCGGAAGGGTGGTAGAAAAGGAGTAGGGCTACCTTGGTGCAGGCGAAGCGGGAAGCAAGGAAGGAGACGCAATCGGTATTGCTCCGTCTCCACCGAAGGTCCTCTCCTTCCTCCGCCGCCACGGGCTCCATTGCTCCCCCTCGGCAGCGGCGGTGCCGTAAATGGGGAGGCGGCGACGGTACCGACGGCTTGGGGTTTTTGAACCTTTTTGGGGAGATGGGCGGACCGCGTACCCTGTGGACTGTGGTGGGATCAACGAACCGCCATCAACTAGCTTAAAGAGGTTATGATTCATAACACGTTGAGATTAGGGGAAAATACTAACAGAAGAAATAGAAAAATTACAACAACTACTACTTTATTAATTCAATAATGCTGTGTGTATGGCGTCTTTCTGGGCGTATCTATCTCGATTGGGCCCAATTAGACAACGGGCCTATGGCCTCCCTCCCTCAACTGCGTCTGTTCAAACATATTCGTCCGAACACCTAATTCCCCTGCGCAACAATTGGGCTCAAATAGACAACAGGCACGTGGTCTCCCCAACTCATCTGCTTGCTGCGAATATTTCCCCACTCCAGTGACCTCCCCAACTCATCAGGCTGCTGTGAACATCCCCACTCCCGAACGCAACGGCAACTTTCACCGCGCTGTCCGCTCGCATCGGTCGTGTCCACCGTGCCATCCGCCTATTGCGCCCACGACGCGTCGTCCACCGGGCCCACTCTATCGTGACCATCCTCGTCGTGCCCCATCTCGTGCCCCGCCCCACCCCAATCTCGCGTCGCACCGTGGCTCCATTCTACGTTGCGTGGGGCGTCCCTTGCCGCGCCCCCGTCCACCTTGGATGTCGCCGCTACGACGTACACCGTGCTACTAGGAGGAGGTCGCCAGCCGTTGTTCTCGTTGTCCCCATGACCAGAACTTGTTGGCTACCGTAGTTCCACACCAGGTAGGTCATGGCTGTCGGCGATGTTATGTGTTTCAAGTGTTTCATCAGGTGTTTCAGACTTTGTGTTTCAAGTATTTCATCTGGACGTTGCAAAAGTAGATTTGTGATGTTCCAATGACAATATATGCATGTTGCAAGCCCATGTTTCAAATATTTTATCTAGATGTTGCATATGTTTGCTATAGCTCTATACGCATGTTTCAAGCGTGTTTCAAGTGTTTTAGATGTTTCAGACTCATATTGCAAGTGTTTTCATCTAGATGTTGCAAAACTAGATCTTGATGCTGCATATGTTGCTATGGCTATACAAGCGTGTTTCAAGCGTATATTTCAAGCGTTTTATCCGTTTCACGCGTATGTTGCAAATGTTTTCATCCTAATGTTTCAAAAGTAGATTTAGGAGAGCGTATGTTTCAATGACGCTGGTGGCTAGCGAACAACTACCTGCTGGTGCTCGGGCGCCGTCGTGAGTCATCGTGCGGGCACCTATGGCTAGTAGATGTCTCCGCGACGTGCATCCGCAGGTAGGGCAAGTGACGGGACCGACGTGGGGCCTAGGAATGGGCACGGGTGCGGGATGGGCTGCTGGGGTGCGGGATGGGCGCGGTGCGACGTCCGGACGTGGGGACGCAACACTGGATGGGATGCGGACTCGGGTGGTGGGATGTGGTGCGAGATAACGCGCGGGAGCTGCGTCCGGACGCTCCGTCCATCCAGATGTCCGGACGCTAGCCCTTATGTTATTAATTAGTTTCACAAAGCAGTATTTTTGTGTTAGGGTATATAGAAAAAAATTCCTGCGTTCCAAACAGATCCTTATAGTATATTAAAACTACACTTTTAAAAATTGGTTTTGTAGAGTTCGATCTTTTTGTCATTACTTTTTTTTCAAAACCTAAAACACTCATGTGCTCGATCCCATCTTTACTTTTACCATTAAGAGACTAGATCAATGGCATCCAATTGATGAAGTCATCGCAAACAACTCTAATGGTCACATCATTTTGGATTCGTTTGGTAAGGATTCAAATCCTTATAGAAACATTTCAAATTTAGATTATCTCATATCTAAATCACTTTATTGGACTGTTTGGCTGGTAGACTAGCTTCTATTCAAAAATATTTTTCATAAAATTTGCTTAAAAAATCAAAACTTTTTATGGCCGAAGATTAACGTATACAAACCATTTTAACTTGTTGCACTTAAAAAAAAGATAAAAAACGGTTGCTATTGTATGAGAGAGACTAGAAATGGAATCTAGCAAAATTAGATTGAAGTTGTTTCGCTCACCTAGGCAAAAAACATGGAACCATGCGGACCGTTCTAAGGTAGAATTATTTCGCAGTTAGGACATTTGGCGTCGTTTCTTCCAATCCACAGAGAACTAATTATTTTTGGAGGACGACCACTTATTATTAGAAGAAATTTTTAAGAATCAATTTTGGGAGGGGGAAATTTGTTTTTTTAGAGAATCAATTGGGGAGATTTGTTTTTCTGGAGCCCTCCGCTTTATTTTTCAAGAAAACAAAGCGCACAAACTGTCACAGTTTAGCACACCATGTTCGAGGTGCGTCCGACAACATTTTCTAGGTTGAGATTCTGAAAAACTTGTATCGCTATATGATCCGAGTACAGAGGTTATAATGAGGCTCGACTATCAGACGTTGTATAAAATTCTCCAAGTTTAGCTTTAGCAGCATCCCAATCCCATTTGACCTTCTTGTAACTTCAGAGTTCGTCGTCCACATGATCCTAAGCAGTTCGCTTACCTTTTACTCCATTTATCTTACGGCCAGTTCCAACCTCTCACGGTCCCGCGTGCCATCTTCTTATCAACTTTGTCGCCAACCTAATCACCCACCTCACATCTTGCTAAGTATCGCCCAAAAAACAAGGAGCATTTCTCAGATAAGTTCGTTGAGGAACAAACATTTTTAGTAAAAGCATTTTTGGCCACAAATCCAAAATTTAGCTACTGATTCGAAATTAGAACCCAAATTGCAATGTAAGATTTGTGCCGCTACATTCCAAGTAATAAACGACACACAACACTCAAAAAATAAATGCATAGTAGAATCATTATCATTGCAAAAAAGGCAAGTCATATCTTCAACATGTCTTCTTTTAGCTAAATTGTCTTTAGTGAGAAGCTTATTGTTACAAAGGAGCCACAGGAAAGTTTGTACTCTTGGAGACACAGATTTTCCAAATGGCCAAGGTATAGATCGGCAATGATCCCTTTAAAAGAGACCACCAAGTGGCAAGTGTAGAGGCCGCACAGAGTGAATGCGAGATAATTGAACCACAATCATCCGAGAACGGGATAGAGTCAGCAATGGCTTGAAGCTCAAACCACATGTTCACCATACTAGGAGAGGAGAAATTTGGTTTGCCTGAAATTTGCTTTGAATTCTATGGAACATGCTTTAAACTTAATCTCCGAAACTTAGCCAAGCTTGGACTTGAAAAGAAATATACCAAGCAGTTGCATTATCTTCATCAACTATATACGCCCTGTTCGTTTGGCTTATAAGCCGTACTTTTTCAACCAATGAACAATATTTTTCTCTCACAACAAATCAGTCAACAGTACTTTCAGCCATGGCTTATCAGCCAAGCAAACAGGGCATGTGCACGTTCCATGACATAAAAATTCCCCTCCGAATAAATGGAGCCAAACAAAAGAGGCATTTAAGCACGTAATCAGGTCAGTGGCCTTATTATTCGCATTAAGTTAACAGTTAAATATAATGATATAATGTATGGATATCGTTTTCAACCAGAAAATCGAGGTTGTACCCTCAAGCAATCGATGTTGCTACACACTGATGGGAGATCAACAAACCAGCCATCCAATACTTATTAGCCACAGCAAAAAAAAAAAAATGCATCAATTTGCCGAGTTAAAAACAAAATATCTTCTACCAGAAGTTACAAAAAGAGATAAGGTAGCCACCTCATCTCATTTTTCATCTAACAAAATGGAGGTACACGCTGTAAGTGACGACAGCTCTTCTTGTGTTGCAGATCCAAACCCTTGCCATCTTATTCTTCCCAGGCTATCAACCAGGTATATGTATCTGCAATTCAAGAGTAGAGCTACCTTATATTGACAAGAAAAACTACTTTTAGTGTTTATATCAAATGACCAAAGAGAAAGGAATTAATGTTACCCAGTGAGAAGGTTTATAATTTGAAGCTTCTTCCGGAAGTCATAATGGTCCCCGAAAGCATAGACAACATGTCTCTGTGGATTGTTAGATTTCCTCATCACCTTGAGAAATGCTCGTCTCACAGGACTCAATGATAATAGCCAAGAATCTATAAATGAGACCTGGAACATAACATATTTTCTTTCAGTTGCTGTTTGGAATAATGTCACATTTCCCCCTCTCAGCACTACCCAAAATCCCAACTTTTAAATGTACCTCACTAGCTAAAGTTTAACCACAGGCCCTTTACCCTTTTCCATCACATGCAATAAAATAACAGCTAAATAATTGTCCTAATTCTGATATGCAATAAACATAGGTAACAAAACCTGAGCCTATGTTGGCAATGAAAGAAATTCAGATATCATATGAACTATTAACGCTAAAGCATCTTAGCCATTATCAACGATGTGCAGAAGTAAAAAAAAAAATAGATAACGAATTGTACAGTTACAAGATAGACTCAGCGCCATCCCGTATTTTCTTTCATTTACACTCAAAATTGCCAATGGCACTTTGCATCCAACATCAAACCAGTAATCATTAAGAAATTGTCGATAGCACTTTGCATCAAACACCAAACCAGTAATCATTAAGAAACTGTAATTGGCACTTTGCATCCAACACCAAACCAGTAATCATCAAGTAGTATAACACCAATACCTCATAAACATGCATGTTCTTGGCAGCACCGAATGCATCCAGGAAAGGTAAACTCCATGACTCTGCCATTTTCTGTTGAGGATCGGTTAGCCATTGACTCGTTAAGATTAATATGGCATATTAGCTTCACTGCATACAATGAATGCAATGTAAAGTGACAGATGTAAAAGAAATATGAAATTTCATATTGATATATATTTTTGGAACAAAATCATTAAGAGGCAAAAAAACTGACACATGTAAGGGGAACCCCAATCTAGAGATTGGTACACCCAAAAAATGCCATGAAGAAAAAAAAATGAAAGACAAAAATCAAGAGAATGTAAAAAAAAGAGCAATCTTCAATCCTAGACTTCCTAGTTAACAGCCCTTTAGGGGTATCTAACAAGTGTGGATGCATTTGATAGTACACTGCCAAAATTTGGCCAGTCAATCCGCAAACAATATGCACTGGTGGGCACAATACCCTACACTGAAATGTTTTCTGTCATGGTGAGAGAAGTTGCAGCGGGATGTCAAGTCCTGTCAAGAAAATGGGCTAGGAACAAGAAAATGATTGTCTGAATTTAGTCAGTTGCCAGGGTAGTTGGTGAAAATTGATTTTATCAGACACAAGTACCATGAAGACCATCTGGTCAATGTCTATATAATCCTAGCAATATGTATCTGTACACAGTAACTTAAAAGGTTTGGCGCTAGATTTTTGCAGACTTAATGCAAAACCAAACAGTTGGAATTCACATTGCCATGGCTGCAAACTACAGCTAATATCTAACAAAAAGCAGCTGGGCAGTTCCTCATACCAGCGAGCTTGCACGGAAGGAAAGGCACACCAATGAAGCACTAGGAATCACATGGTCTCCAGCCTCACCATCATTGTCTTGCAGAGCAGACGCAACAAGAGGCAGATGCAGCGCCCCTCCAGCAGGGGAATCCACAGCAAGATGAGGAAACGTCACAGCATCTGCCTCTGGGATGACGACCTTACTCGCCATCGCAATCTGAACCATTTTTACCACAGAGTAATTACTGGTTACTCAAAGCGATCAACAACTAGTAAATTTGTGCAACACACTATATATAGGTGATATACCTTGCCAGCATTCTTGCGGATCTCGGCAATGTCTGCGAAGTAGCCTCTACTCATTTCATCGGTACTGCACTAGACCAATCAGAACCAAAGCATCACATGTTAGGATGTTTACATCCATCCAATGCTGCAGTCAGTGCAGCATCAGTAACTGCTAATGGCTAGTAAATGAGGTGGGAGGAGAGGAGCCTTACAGCCTGGCCTTCTTCTTCTCCTTCTCCTTCTCCATGGCCTCCTTGTTCCCCGTCTAATCACTCCAGCAACACAAACAAACAAGTCAATCTTTTACTCTCAACCATTCCATTTCTACGGATTGACTCTAACCATCTACTAATAGCAACTGCAGTTGCGGCGGAGGAAGCGAGGAGGAACGGAGACGAAGCAGCGCCTACCTTGCGGAAATCCAGGAAGCCGCGAGCGAAAGCCGCGCGCGCTATTGGAGGGACCCCGCCGCTCTGGACGCCAGCTCCAGCGCCGGCGAGGCGGAGCAGCGCTCCCGCCGCCCCCCGCGCCCTCAGCATCATCGCTGCCCGCCGCCCGCCGCCGCCGATCCACTCGCGTCAGGATTCGGAAGCCGCGACACGCGGAGAGCTGCGGTAGTGACAATATGGGCCGGGCCTGTCTAGATATCCTGTAGTTGTCCCTCATTAGTGGGCTGGTTACCCGATCCAGTAAGCCACATTTGGCCTACTCTACTATATTGAAAACCACAGTGCCACTAGCTGCCAACGAATTCCAAAACCAGCAGCGCCCGAACTGACCAAAACCGAAGCACGCAACGCAGCCTGGCCAAACCGCCAAACCCTCTTCGGCTCTTCCCCTTTCCTCTCTGGTTCAGATTCCTCCGTTTCGATCTCCTCGCCTCCGTCTCCGGCGGGGCCATGGCCTCCTCCTCCTCCTCCTCCTCCTCCTCGCGGTTCGAGTAAGCTATCTACTGCCTGTTATTACTCAATTCGCCTCTACTTTCGCCCAATTGCTCCGCCCCCAGCGATCTCACCCACTCACATCGTCCTCTCGTGTCAGCGATCCGGCGGCGGTGAGGCGCCCCCCGCAGCACGAGCGGAAGCCGCCGTATATGTTGCTGCTCCCTCTCGTCTACGCCCCCGCGCTCCCCCTCAGTACGCTCTCTACGCCCTTCCCCCATTCCCCCCTTCCCTTGCTGCGTTTGCTGACTTGTGTTTCGGTTGTTTCACCGCGCGGTTCGACGGGGCAGTCAGGATCGGGCTGCGGCACAATCCCGTGGTGAGGGACCGCCTCTTCTACGGCGTCCTCGCCGGTGCATTCGCCCACGGTGCCTACCTCATGTACGTTTTCCTACACTCTCTCTCTCTCTCTCGCACGTCTTCCCCTGCTTCTCCATGTGCCTGTTCTTATTAGATGTCGATTGCTAAAAATGAAACAATTCTCATTGCTGCGAATTGTGCTTAAGCTATTCGTGCTTACCTAGTAATGCTGATGCTGATGGGAACAGCTTTATTTTTCGTGACATTGCGATATGGCGTGCGGTGTAATGCTCAAGCATATGTTGTGCAATTGTAAGGCTAATAAATCCACTGGATAGTTTGCTACAGATTGCTGTGCCCAATAACATCAGTAGAGAAATAGCTGAAGCTGGTACAACTTTTATGGTGCTCACTAAGAAACTACTCCATCCGTTCCAAATTATAAGACGTCCTGGCTTTTCTTGTATATCTAGATGCGTTGCAAAAGCTATGCATCTAGAAATGCCAGAACGTCTTATAATTTGGAAGGGAGGGAGTCTTTTCTTTCTTGTACTACAACAAAAGTGTCATATCATATGACAAATTGACATATCTATGACATATAGAGCATTATTCATCATTGTGAGGTTCCGAATAGTATAATAAAACATGATGTTGCACAATCACATTCAAGGGAGGAGATCAAGCAATCACAATATCACATTAAGGACATCTTTTAGAAAATGAAAGAAAAAGACTAAGAGAATATGATCTTATGAGCTTGACAATCTTTATGTAGCAGCATCGTGGTGATTATCATTATATTTTTTATGTTTTTCTCATGTGGAAAATTAGTGACTTGAGTGCTGTGATTTATGAGCATTATAAGGTACTAGATTAGATATCATTTTTTTAATGTCCATAGTCCATAGTTATGTTTTTCAGTGTAAAATGGAACAACCAGTAGGAATTATAGTTCATAGTTAAGATTTCAGTGTACTTTTGAATAAGCACTACTGCACTAGGAATTATCCATGTATCTTAAATTGAAAGTTGTCCCCTGCATACTGTTGGTCTACTTTACACACTGTTCTGTGCATATCCGGATGCATTTTATAGGAAGATAGAACCTATGGAAGAAAACCATGTCTAGGTTAGGTACCAATCTATGTTGTTTCTTTAAACTAAAGGCTTTCCCGGTTTTGTAGAAAGCAAAATAGATCCGCTGGGGTTACTAGCTTTACATGACAAGTCACAGATTCACAAGCTTTAACCTACTTTTACAAGGGAGGGCACTAAGATAAGAATGACGCCCAGATTAGGCTTCCAACAGCAAAAGCAGGAAACTCTAACCAAAGAACACAACTAACGAAGTTGCAAAAGCACTTAGGGCCACTTTGCTAGAGCTCCACTTCTTGATTTTTGAGCTTTACTCCTTGATTCTCTGATGGAATGATTCTGGTGGGGAGCAGGTGAGAAGTGATTCTGATTTGATTGAACGGGGAGCAGGATTTTTTAGCTCCCAGCTCGTAGTGTAAATGGGGAAGTCATTTTCATCAGCTTCCCATTAGAATTCAGTTGCATTTTAACCAATGGTAGGACTCCACAAAATCCACTCGAAGAAACTAGGAGCAAAGCTCTACCAAACATGCCCTTAAGCCTATCCCATATCTGTCGACAGAATAGAATCAGTAGTAGTGCGAAGTGTCACATGCCAGTCCCTCATGTCCTCAGCAGTAGATGTGAGGCATCATTGGTTCTCCTCCTTGCTCAAAGCTTTCCATTGCTGCATGAATGGCATTAGTGAAAGATGACCTTATCTGAGGAAACTATAATACGGCTTTATCACTAAAAACAAATCATTCCTGGTGAGCCGAAGTGTCCATCAAACATAGCCCAATATGAAGAGTAAACGGAGTTTTTATTTGTTTTTCAAATTAAATTCAAGAAATCCTGAAAACTCCTAATTCACAGGTTACAGGGTGTGCTGCCAATCTAGCACGTCTCTGCAAATACTCCACACAAAGATCGCCAAAGAACATCTAAACATATGGATTCATCTATACCACACATCTTGCATGCTATACCTCAGGCCAGTTTTACTTGATTAATTGCTCAGCAGATTGTATTCTATCTTACAAAAAACACTCTAATTTTCTGTGCAAATCTGCCATCCTGGTATCAATACTAATCTATGTTGTGAGTATATCCATCTAGGTATTAGTTTGGTTTTCCTACAATCTTATGTTGATTTAGTGATTTAACATCGAACTCTTATGCCACTTGAAGTGAAATGAACTGTCATACCAGGGGTAGAGACAGGGGCCTGCCTCCCCTCCCCCCTAATGTTGCACAGTCTTCACTAATACTTGTCATTAGTTTTCACTAGAGATTATAAGTAAAGAAGCCTTCTTAATTAATTCTAGATTGTTTTTTTCCAAATACATCTCTTGATTGTCGAATATTAAGTGTTCAAGATTTGGAGATTTGCCATTATAATTTTGCAAAGTTGGAGATTTGCCATTGGGACCTTACCCCAACTTGCTTGGGACTGAAAGGTTATGTTGTTGGAGATTTGCCATTGGTATCTCACTGATATGTGGGGCACACACGAGTCAATAACATGTGGGACAGGATGGCATATCTCCACAACAACAACAACAACAAAGCCTTTAAGTCCCAAACAAGTTGGGGTAGGCTAGAGTTGAAACCCATCAGAAGCAATCAAGGTTCAGGCACGTGAATAGCTGTCTTCCAAGCACTCCTATCTAAGGCTAAGTCTTTGGGTATATTCCATCCTTTCAAGTCTCCTTTTATTGCCTCTACCCAAGTCAACTTCGGTCTTCCTCTGCCTCTCTTCACGTTACTATCCTGGCTTAGGATTCCACTACGCACCGGTGCCTCTGGGGGTCTCTGTTGCACATGTCCAAACCATCTCAACCGGTGTTGGACAAGCTTTTCTTCAATTGGCGCTACCCCTAATCTATCACGTATATCACCGTTCCGAACTCGATCCCTTCTTGTATGACCGCAAATACAACGCAACATACGCATTTCCGCGACACTTAGCTGTTGAACATGTCGTCTTTTCATAGGCCAACATTCTGCACCATACAACATAGCAGGTCTAATCGCCGTCCTATAAAACTTGCCTTTTAGCTTCTGTGGTACCCTTTTGTCACATAGGACACTAGATGCTTGCCGCCACTTCATCCACCCTGCTTTGATTCTATGGCTAACATCTTCATCGATGTCTCCGTCCCTCTGTAGCATTGATCCTAAATATCGAAAGGTATCCTTCCTAGGCACTACTTGACCTTCCAAACTAACATCTTCCTCCTCCCGAGATGGCATATCTCCAATTTAGTAAAATTATAATGGCAGTCTTCAAATTTTCCCGTCCAAGATCCCTTTTTATCTTCAGTTTAGGCAATTATCATTTTTAAAAAATGAAGAGATTAAAGATGATTTATTATAGTTTGTTAAGCCGACATCAAAAGAGATAATTTTTTAAGCCAACATCAAGACTTGGCCGATGGTACCCTATATTTTTTGTTATCAATACTTGGTTAGCTCCCCCAAATATCTGAATCGTAGCTTCGCCCCCTATATCTGAGATTATGTTTCCTACACACACTCTCACGTGCGCGCACGTGCTCCCCTGCTTCTCCATGTGCCCCTGTTCTTATTAGATATCGATTGCTAAAAACGTAACAATTCTGGTTGCTGCAAATTGTGCTTTAGCTACGTGCTTACCTGGTGATGCTGATGCTGATTGGAACGGCTGTAATTTCATGACATTGCAATATGGCATGCATTGTAGTGCTCCAGCGTATGTTGTGTAATTGTAAGGCGAATAAATGTGTTCTGGATAGTTTGCTACAGATTTTTGTGCCCAATAACATCAGTACATCACTAGAGAAATAGTCCGAGCTAGTACAATTTCGATGATGCTCACTAAGATACTAACATTCTGTTTACTGCACATAAATTTTTCTTTCTTGTACCAGAATAAAAGTGGCCATATCATATGGCATATGTATGGCGTACAGTGATAGAGAGCAGAATTCATCATTGTGAGGTCACGAATAGTCGAATAGTATGACAAAACGCGATGATGCACAATCATAATCAACGGAGGAGATCAAGTAATCACATTAAGGAGATTTTTAGAAAAAATGAAAGAAAAAGAGAATATAATCTTATGAACTTGACAATCTTTATATAGCAGCACGGTGATTATCATCATATATTTTTATGTTTTTCTCATGAGGGAAATTAGTGACCAGGCATGCTGTGATTCATGAGCAGTATTAACAAGGTACTACAGATCATTATTTTTTTTCAATGTCTATAGTCCATAATTAAGGTTTCAGTTGGAACAAGCAGGAAGACTTACCCATGCGTCTTAAATTGAAAGTTGATCTACTTTTACACATTGTTGGTCTACTTTACACACTGTTCTGTGAATATCCAGATGCATGTTATAGGAAGAAAGAAACTATGGAAGAGAAGCATGTCTAGGTTATGTACTAATATATGTTGTTTTTTTAGACCAAGGCTTTCCCTGTTTTATAGAAAGCAAAATAGTTCTGCAAGGGTTACATAATTACATGACAAGTCACAAATTCACGAGCTTTAGCCTACTTTAACAAGGGAAGGCACTAAGATAAGAATGCCACCCCGATTAGGTTTCCACCAGCAAAAGCAGGAAACTCTAGCCAAAGAGCACAACTAACGAAGTTGCAAAAACACTTAAGCCTATCCCATATCTGTCGACAGGACAGAACAGAATCAGTAGTAGTGCAAGTGCCACAAGCCAGTTTGTCATGGCTTCAGCAGTAGATGTGACCCATCATTGGTCCTCCTTGCTCAAAGCTTTCCATCGCTGCATGAATGACATTAGTGAAAAATGACCTTATTTCATTATTTGGGTAGGAAACTACAATATCGTGAAAAACAAATCATTCCTGGTGAGCTAAAGTGCCCATCAAGCACAGCCCAACAGGAAGAGTAGACGGAATTTTTATTTGTGTTTACCAATTAAATTCAAGCAATCCTTTCAGTGTCGATTTAATGCTTCAGCTTATTGAACCTGGAATATATCTGGTACCCATGTTGTAGCATTGAGCTACTTGTATGGGCATATACATCAAATCCTGTATGACATAAAAAGTTGTATATGTCAGCAAAGAACCTGGAGTCCCTAAAATCTTAGGATGTGAAGACAGTAGTCAAACCAGAGACTAATTGTCCTCTCATACTGAGTTACCTGTTTCTGTTATTGAAACATGATGAATAGCTTATATAACATGTGTGAACCTATGGGTGAAATGTGAATGCTGAACGAGGAACAGGAACATCTCTTCTAGTTTCACGCTTACTATGAAGTGCTCTTGTTACATGTAAATGTTAGTACTAGGATCCTAGTTATGCATTACATAGAAAAGTAGGGAATGTGGACCTAAATAAGTAACTATGTTCACTTCCTGTCTGAAAGGTACCCCTTCTTTCTTGTTCTTGCTTGTGCAAACTGGTTTGCATTGCCATTGTTTGTGAACAGATCTGCTGTACCAGTTAATTGTGATTGTGCATGAATACACATCTTCCTGATGGCTAGGCAAAGCATTTTCATATTGGACCCATCTCCTGCAACTTCCACGTTGTCTCTGTTTGGTTTGTCCATATGACCAAATTACAGATGTACCTGCTTCATGAAGATAATTCTTGTTATTTTAGCTGTTTGTTTAAAGACCTTGATATTTTAGTTGTGAAAGCTATGTGAGGGTAACCACAAAGGATAGGTCCTGGACATTCTTGTACTATGTGGTTCCTATCTGAAAAGGGCATCCATATTTTCATGCTGCTCTTGTTGTGCAAACTGGTTTCCAAATCTTTGTCTATCACTGCCGGTGCTTGATTTTTGTGATCTTCAATGGGCCTGCCGTGCCAGATGGTGACGCGAGCATTCCCTATTAAACGTGTTCTTGCAACTTCCACGGTTTTCTGCAAATGGTTTTTGTCCACATGCACAAAGTTACAGGCGTGTTTTCTTCATGTGGATAACACTTATCATTTGGTAGTTAAGGTCTATGCTAGTGTAATTTGCAAAGAGATATGACCAGGACGTACTAATGTGGTTTATCCTTGCCCTTTTCAGATCGGAACTGTATGACGTGGAGAGCAAATGATGGGCATCCCTCAAAGGATGAAGGGATAAGTTCAGGCAGCAAATTTTGATTCCATCGGGATTCCAGATTGGATGAGAGCTGACTTGGCTATTCAGATTTAACTAGTGTGCTATGTACCTATATTTTCTTTGGTTCGTGCTATTATGTTTGGCAAAAGGATGGAATGTTTGAGCAGATAATAATTTCAGATTGCGAGAAATATGTCCAGCGATGGTGTTCCATTTACAGGCTCCCGTTAGATACTGGCTAGTCAAATATTCTTAATTTGGACCAAATACATACATAAAAGTATTGATGTTTATGATGTCTAATAAATATCATTAGATTAATTATGAAATATATTTTATAATAAACCTAATTGGAGATCTAAATGTAGATAATATGTTTTATAAATTTAGTCAAACTTAAGATTCTTTGACTCCTTGTAAAGCGAGATTTACATTCTTTTGGGTATGGAGAAAGTATATATTTTTAGTAGAGTTAAATGCATGAGAGACTCTTGAACTTGTAACGGGGTGTCATTGAGGTCCATAAACTTGAAAAATGCATTTCTAAATACCTAAACTTGCTAAATGATACATCGCAGGTCCATACTCGTGGATATTTTATTTGACATGGCAACGCCACGTGGCCGAAAATATGCAATGAACACCCTAAAATCTAAGGAGCTGGACGTGTATGCATGTGTTGGACGAAGCAGGGCGGCGAGGAATCAGGGGAAGCAAGCAGCGCTTCATCCCGCCTCGACCATGGCCACACGCACGAGCTGCTGCCCGCCCTGCCTCGCCTCGTCCCAAGACCGTGCGCCGTCATCACCCCGCGCAAGTGGGCGCCCTCGCCGTGCCCTAGAGCCAGCCCGAGTCCCATCTGTGCCTCAGTCGAGCTTGCCATGGTCGGCTATTTAAGCAGAGCACGCACGTGCCGCGACCACCTTTGCGCCCTTTCAAAATTCGTCCACACCAGTGCCTCCCATTCCAATCCCTCGCAGCCATGAGCGCGCCTGGTTGTTAGCTAGCCCCTGGACGAGACCTCGTTGCAAACCATCTTCAATAAGTGACGAATTTTGGAATCTCGTGGAATCGGCCGCCATGGCCGCCGGAGCTGAAGCTCTGCTGTGGCACCAATTCTTTTCCTCTGTTCTATCCAAGACGTGTTTTAGCATCGCCTTAACGCCCCCTACATGACCTTTGCACAGTTTGGCCGGTCTCCTTGCCGTCTTGTGGTCAGTCGTCTCCAACCCAGCGATGAGATCCCCCTCATGTGACCTCGACGCCCTGCCGCGGGAGGAGCCCTCCGGCGCGTCGTTGGAGTTCCCCGTGTTCCCCACCAATGTCCTCTTCTGGGGCACCCACGACGAGGTCACCAACGCCGGCCTGGCCACGCCCCCGCCGCCCGTCGCCAGCACCAGCGCCGCCGCCGCGAGCTTCTCGGCCTCCAGGCGCAAGAAGGAGAATCTGGTCATCGACATCTCGATGCGGCCCGTGGCCTTGAGCACGCCGCCCATGAACTCCCCGCTGCCGGCGAGCCGGATGCCCGGGGCCATCGACGGGATGTGGTCCCCGATCTCAGCCAGGCTGCGGTCGTTGCGCCGGCTGCTGAGCAGAGGCAAGCAGGCCGTGGTCGGCACCTCCTACAGCCCGCGCGACGCCGGTGACATCGAGCAGGGGCTTGCCGGAGCCGAGTCCTCCCGCCTGGCCAAGACGCCGAAGATGCCTCTGTCGGCGAACTGATCCAGATCTCCAAACATGGCCCGGCTTTGGAGGTGAAGGCGAGGTCACGGGCAAGTGGCGACGTGGCTAGGGGCGAGTGCGGCATGTACAGCGCTTGGCAAGGCGCAGCAGAGGTGAGGTGTGCAGCGCGTGACGCGCTCTGCGCCATTGCGCCGAACGGTGGCGTGTGTGACTTGGCGAGGGAAGAACCCAGATGCCCTCTTTGGATATTCCATTTAGATTTCAGGGGGTTTACTGCATATTTTCCCGCCACGTGGCAATGCCACGTTAGATAAAATGCCCGCGTGGCAAGTATGGACATGCGGTGTATCATCTAGCAAGTTTAGATATCTAGAAATGCATTTTTCAAGTTCATGGATCTAAGTGACACCCCATTATAAGTTCAAGGGTCTCTCATGCATTTAACTCTTTTTAGTAGTACATCAGAATGATTGGGGGACCATTTGGAACGTACGAATGGTACATAAATTTCAAAGGAAAACACAAGAAAGAGGAAAGTAACCTAAATTCCGAAAATGCCTTGAACTGCTGTTGGCTTGTTGCTTTAAGGTGGGGACTGGGGCATCTAAAAAAATTTATAACCAAAAGGAAAATATTGAGAGCGGAACTCACTAGGTAACGAGTGGCTATCTGCTTCCTGGTGGCTTCTTGAGTGAGTTCTATCATCTATGAACCGGACAAACGGAGTGATGATTATACGTGTCCATTTCTTAAGGCGTCGATGTCAATGCAGAGCGTAATATGAAACAAAGAAGATTGTAAATTTTGCCTCCCCTGGGCATGATGCAACTGTGCATTTGTTCTAACGGTGGCATACCACCGTCATTGAGCTGTAGCTGGCATGGCGAGGTTTGTCCATTGTACAGCTGATCCAGTACCGATGGTTATACCTCCAGCGGTGAAAACCTGGTTTGGACTTGGTTATTGACGAATGACGAAGTCAATAGTTGCCGTACGGTCTTTCACAGCTTCTCTCATTGCTGGTGCGGATTGAACAAATTATGTGCTGGTTAATAATATAGTAGTTCATTTGTTAGCAAATACTTGTCTCCCTCAGGAATAAGCAACTGATAATGATATATAGTAGTCCATTTGTTAGCAAATACTCATAAATATAACAAGTTAATTGTTGTATGGGAAAGATTATATAGGCTTGTTTGGCTTATAAGCCATGGCAGAAAGTACTGTTGACTGGTTTGATGTGAGAGAAAAATAATATTTGTTGGCTGATAAGCCATAATTTATAAGTCAAATATGACCGAGTGAACAGCCTACCACTGTCACGTTGGGGGTACCGCCGCTCGGAGGCTAAAATAATCTGCTGTGCCTGCACGGGCCGGCCACTTGCTCCCATTTTCCTCAGCAGCTTTTGCGTTGCGCGCCTCGGCCGGCAAGTAGACCTTAAAATTAGTTATTCTGATGCTGCATTGGATCTGGTTTTGGTTAGCGTGTTAGTTTAACGTAAAGAGAGATCGGTGTCAGCAACTAATATAGGGCCTGTTTGACACGCGGTGGGACGGCGGAGAATCTGAATTTAGGGCCGCGTGGTGTGAGCCGTAATATTTCAGCAAAGAACGATATTTTTCTTTAACAAGAAATCAGCGTAGCGAATAGGGCCTAAATTAAATCATGAAACGAGATCAGGCAACCAAATCCCAACATCATCAAGCAAGATCAACCATTTCGCCCACGGAAATGGAATCCAGTACGCCATGGAACGTAGTAGTACGCCACAAGATCTGGCAGGGGAGGGAAACATTAATTTCATCATCAGTAGCAGTACAATGCATAACGCTTCGCGGATCTGCGCCATTCCAGCGCAGACCGGAAACGGTTTCAGGACGGCGGGCTCCGGATCCTATCGGATCAGTACAGCAGGCACGTCCGAGAGCGGCGGGGACGGCGACAGGGGAGGGGGAGGGGGAGGGGGCGCCTCGTAAAACCGGCAGACCCCTCACCCTCCTGCTCCACGACGACGACGACAGTGGGAGCGAGGGGAAACAAACACAACCCCGGCCCGAATCGGAAGGAAACGAAAGGCGAAACCAGTATATACACACAGAGCTCTAGATCTACGGCCACGTCGGCGACTTGCTTCCGCCTTTCTGCCTAGGCAGAGCGGGCGAGGCGGGAGGCGATGGCGGAGTGGTACATGGCGTCGTGGAAGGACTCGGTCTGCGCCATCCGCGCCCGCAGCTGGCGGGCCTTCTCCTCCGTCAGCCCCCCCACGAACTGCCTGCGTGCCGCGCTGCCTGCGTCGTCTTCGTCCTGCGGCACCGCCACCGCCACCGCCGGCGCCGGGGCCTCGAGGTAGTCGGCCTTCCCCGACCACCCCAGCAGCGGCGCCCACCACCTGCCGCCCTCCGCGGCGGCGCGGACCGTCCCGGCAGAGGAAGGGGACCCCGCCGGGCGGGCTGGGAAGGAGACGGAGGCGGGTGCGCACGGTGCCATCGCCATTCGGATCGGCCGGACGGTTGCTTCGCCGCTTTGGTGGGTTGCTTTGCTTGGTTTGGGGGCTGGCTGGGTGTCTCGTTGCTGATCGCTGATGGAGGCCAAGGCTCGGCCTGGCATTTATAGCAGCCGAGCGGATCGGGGAGGAGACGGATGGATAAGACCACCGCGTGGACACGTGGTCCGCATCGTGAAACACGGTGCCTGCGTAACGGTTGCTTATTTCTGGCGGGCCCGTCAGGTCACTGATGCGTGGGTCCAGGCTGTGGGCCGTGGCCTTCGTACGGTGCTCCCTGCAGGGATCTTCTGCCGTGACGGAGATGCCGTTCGGAGTGGTTAATGCTAGGGAGCTCTTTCATTTAGAACTTTTTGATACAGTGCTTGTTTAGTTGGCGAAATTTGGGATTTTTGATATTGTAGCACTTTTATTTTTATTTGGTAATTAGTGTTCAATCATGGATTAATTAGGCTCAAAACGTTCCTCTCGCAATTTCCAACCAAACTGTGCAATTAATTTTTTTTTCGTCTACATTTAATGCTCCATGCACGTATCGCAAGATTCGATGTAATGACTATTATAGCACTTTTTGGGGAATTTGGATGAAACTAAACACACGCATAGTACTTTTTCATACTGAGTGTCTGTTTAGTTTCTAAAATTTTGCAAAAATTTTTAAGATTTCCTGCCACATCGAATCTTTGGACGCATGCATGAAGCATTAAATATAAATAAAAAATAAAACTAATTACACAGTTTAGACGAAATTCACGAGACGAATCTTTTAAGTCTAATTAGACTATGATTGAACACTAATTACCAAATAACAACAAAAGTGCTACAATATTATTTTCCAAAAAAAATCGCCAACTAAACCAGACCTAAAATGTCGTGAGGTTGACCCTAAAATTCACGCTAGCCGCGAGAACAACCTTTGCCCGTGATGGAAGGGTTGCAAGCCCTCTCTGTTCCAAAAGTTGTTTGGATAACGATGGGGCACAAAATATTCACACAAAATTAATGAGGCCTCGTTCGTTTCTCTTATAATCCGTACCTTTTAGCTTATTTTTTTCAGCTAAAACAATATTTTTTCTCTCACAATAAATCAACCGAAACAGTGTTTCGACTTATTTTTTCAGCGAAACAGATCGAGGCCAAAAATTTCTATCTCCATTCTAAATTATAAAACATTTTTTTATTTCCCTAGGCGGAGCGCGCGAGGCGAGACGCGATGGTGGAGTGGTACGTGGCGTCGTGGAACGACTCCGTCCGCGCCATCCGCGCCCGCAGCTCCTGGCTTCTCCTCCATCATCACCCCCACGAACTGCCTCCGCGCCGCTGCCGCATCGTCCTGCGCCTGCACCGCCGGTACCGGCGCCGGGGCTTGCCGCTGCCGGGCCGGCTGGGAACGAGACGGCGCTGCATGCTGCGGACGATGCCATCGCCATTGGATTCGATCTGCGGTTGGTCGCCTCTCTCTACCTCGCGGGGTTGTTGCTTCGATTGCGTTGGTTGAATTGCGTTGCGATTTTTGCCTTGGGCTTGCGGGCGGCCGCTGGGGAGTTTGGGCGATGGGAGTGTGTAACTACCTCAGTTTAGGCGTTCTAGATGAAGCAAGGTGAGCGTGTGTTACTCGGTACAACGTGTTGTGCACGTACCTTTTTTTTTTCTCTACTCGGTGATGGAGTCAATCGATTTATTCTACTCGAGAATTGACTCGTTCCGTTTGCTATCGTCGTCTTGTGGAACTTTTTTATTGGGTACTTGCTGGTACTCCACTACTCCCGCTGGTTCCATCCTCTCCTAATTTTGTTAAAAATATGTTAGCATAAACAACGTATATATTTTAGAGAAGCAGAGCTTAATAAAATTAATTTCGTATTATTTCTCTATTGACTTGATCAAACATTGACTACATATTCTACTTTGTTATTATTGGTCAATCCTCTCTTAATTTTGTTAAAAATACGCTAACACAAACTACGTATATATTTTAGATAGGCAGAGTTTAATAAAATTACGTCCGTATTATTTCTCAATAGACTTGATCAAACATTGACTACATATTTTAGTTTGTTATTATTGGTCAATCCTCTCTTAATTTTGTTAAAAATATCTTCACATAAACAATGTATATATTTTAGAGAGGCAGAGTTTAATGAAATCAATTCCATAGTATTTCTCTATAGACTTGATCAATCATTGACTACATATTTTAGTTTGTTATTATTTGCCAATCCTCTCTTAATTTTGTTAAAAATATGTTAACATACACAACATATATATTTTAGAGAAGCGGAGTTTAATGAAATTAATTTCATCTTTTTTTCTCGAATACGCAAAAGGTTTGCGCATCTTTTGTATTAAGATCAAGAAATGGTAAAATTTACAACGACGCGCCACGGACATGGCACACTAGGGGATATAGTTATACAATCAGTTTTATCCTCCCTAGCAGAAGGAGATTATATGCTATAACTCGCTAATCATACTACCTAGCCAGTATCGGCGGTCAGACACGCTTGCTTGTGCGGCGCCTCACCCGCTCTCCCTATGGGTCAGGAAAGAGCTCTCGCATTGCCTCAGCATGCGAGGGGTTGAGCTGGTCGACGAAGATACTGTCATAGGCGTCCATGGCTACCGTGGTCGGCTGTCCGTCGAGCATCCCCATCTGCTTCATCACCAGCACCTCTCCCTACTTAGAAGCCGGGACGCGTGAAAGTGGCTGGGCGGCGATGCTCCCGCTGTGGATCGGCAATTTTGGTTGTGCCTCCACAACCGGCTGAGGGAGCAGCGGCGATGGTGCCTTACGTAGTATCTTGTCTGTGAAGCACTTGAACCTCTTGGCAGCGGAGCTCCCACTTTCAGCACGGGGAGGGGTGGCCGTGTCAGCGCCAAGGGGGATGGTGCTGGAGCCTGGGCTCGCCTCAAGCCAGAGAAGTTTAACTTCAAATAAAACAAAAATGGCATGCACTTTCAAATGAAGCAAAAAATATATCTGCAATCTGTGGAGATTTAGGGTCTGTTTTGTTGATGACCAAAACTTGCCACGCCTAACCTTCGGCAAACTGTGGCTGCCAGAGAAAGTTTGGCGAACAAAATTGAAGCCACCCTTGTGGCAAAGTTTGGCAAGAAAATAGGTCTATGACGTGTGGGATAGGGTGCTAAGAAAGTGTGGCACACCGTAGTTGTGGCAGCAAACCAAATAGCTGCCAGAAAAACCGTGACATGACTAACTTGTGGCATGCCACGTTTTGATCACGAACCATACAGAAAATTATAGCGAATCAATAAAGAAAACTGAGGCCACAGAGTGAATGAACTACAAAAGCCACGTTGATTGAAGGAAGAAGTTAAATTAAATACTGCTCCTAAACCAGCATACGAGTCTCCTAGTTAAAGCTCAGTGTAGAAAATCAATCCAAAGCGCAAGAGTAAAAATCTAAACGAAGTCTAATTAGCCAAATAGAGAAGATACTAGAACAAATGTGAAACACCTATATGTTATATATTGCATCTAATTGTCATTTTGGTTCTACTTAAAGTATGCATCTTCAAGAGTTTTCAAAACCCACTTTCAATCTTGATTTTATGGCAAGATTGAAAAAACGCTCTCTAACTATTCCTTATGTCAACTCCAATCCTCCCACACTTGTGAAAAACCGATCCAATTGTGTAGAGATGTACTCGCGCATATTGATGGGAGGTGGAAGGACGTGGAAAAAGAATATAGAAGAAGGACATGGTTCCCAATGCAAAGTGTACAAGATATAAAGAAATTATAAAATGCTCGAGGTCCTTTAGAAAGAGTCTGGAACTCCTGATGTAAAAATGCATTTTATCTTGAAGGAGCAAGATTTTAGAAATAATTAGAGGAATTTAAAAAATATGCTCCATTTTTATTTGAACTCTTATTAAAGCTACCCTAGATGACTCGAGTTGCGTCGTGTTGTTTCTCTAGTTCTTTTTTTTTCGTTTAACTTTGTTTCTCTAGTTACTGGACGTCGCACATGTTGAGTGCTGAGTGGCACCTTTGGTGAAGATGAAAGGGCCACCAAGTAGTCCAGGCCCCCAGTTGCAGCGAAGGGCCACTCTTTAAAGTGACTAACTAAGGCCCTGTTTGACAGGGCTTCAACTCTGGGTGGAGCTGCTCTACTCTAGAATTTCAGGTGGAGTTTCTGGGTAGAGTTGGAGCTGTCTGATGGAGGTGTTTGGCTGGGAGGGTGTCCCCAGCTCCACAAAAGAGGAGTTTGAGGGTAGATTACCATTCTTGCCCCCTGGTTTGAATAAATACACAGTTTTTTAGACAAAATGAATGGCTTGAACTTCTCACAAATATGAAATGAAAATACATGCAGTAAATTCCAAAATAATTACTAATACATTTCAAGCCAAGTGATCCCAAGTCATTGAACATTGATTAATCCAATTTGTTCAACATTCAGATGCCTTTATCTATTTGAGCTTTTGGATCAGCAAAGATCATCTATTTGAGATACATTAAGATTATGAGCAGCAGGGCATTCAATTTTCAGAAAAAAAACTCAGCGTGCCAAAGAAAATGAACTGAATGGAACTATACCAGCTCGCTGAAGACATAACAAACACCGACCCTTGAGGGTTGTCAATAATTGACAATTCATAAATGTGGCAATACCAACCGAACCACAGAATTAGCTTATTGTTTAGAAAATGCTATTGGGGAAGGATAGTTCCTGACGATGGAAACGTGCAGCAACAGACCAACAGGCATAAGCATGGCATAGCTCGAAGCTTTGAACAATACGAATATCTGAAAGGCGGAAAGGAAAATAAATGGTACTGGACAATCTACAGAGATGGAGGGAAGAGCAACCAAGGAAGACCTTAACTAGCATATGCAGTCAAACGATGAGACCTCCTGTCGTGAACATGTGATGGCCATCAGACGATAATCAGAGGCAGGCCCTGGCGTCGTTTCCGCGGCGTCTGGCAGCTCTGGCCACCTGAACCTGAACGGCAGCCGCGACGTCACGAGGCAGCAGATCCGGCCACGCCTCCATGGATGTCTCGAAGAGCACCTGGTTGCGGTATTTGCGAAGGCGCCTGCCGCCGGCAGCGACCTTGGCAGCGGCCTTCATGAACTTTTTCTTCAGCTTGGACACCTTATCGGAAAGCTCTGTGGCATCCACGCCACGGCGATGGAGCCCGCCGTCGTCGCAGATCTTCTTGAGAAGCACCGAGGCCTGGGGGGACCTTGCGGAGCTGTCCGCGTGGGGAATGGAAGCAGGGGACGGTTGGTGCCATGGTGGAGATGGGTGACGCCAGAGGTAGGCGTGGGGAACAGAAGCAGGGGACGGGCGGGGCTCGGCGGACGGCGGCGGGGCTCAGGCAGCCGGCGGCGGGGATGGATGGCGGCGCGCCGGTGTGGGTGGTGGTGGGCAAACCCTAGCGGCGGCGGGGATCGGGCGCAAGAACAGAGCAGTCGCGGATTGGAGGAGGCGCAGGAGAGAGATGTGGCGCGGGGGGTCTCGGGAGGAAAAGAACGAACCGTTTTTTTTTTAATCAGTGGCATTGATGGGTAATTACCCACCAACTCTATGAGGAGGTTTATATTGGGTTGTTCTGGAGCTGCAAAAGAGGTACTCCAAAACTCCACCTCCATTTGTACTATAGCCCCCATGGAGTTGGCAGCTCCGTAGAGTTTTGGAGCTGAGGTGTTTGGCTGGAAAATTGGTTGGAGTTGCTAGAGTTCAGCTCCAGAGCCATGCCAAACAGGCCCCTAAACTTTAGGAGGGGTGAATCAAACGGGCCCTAATAAAAAAAATAAATTACAGAATCCGTCGGTAATCTGTCCGACGAATTTATTAAGTCTAATTAATTCATCATTAACGTATGTTTACTGTAGCACCACATTATCAAATTATGAACTAATTAGGCTTAAAAAATCTGGCTCGCCAACTAATCTCAATCTGCGTATTTAGTTTCGTAATTAGGCTATATTTAATACTGGAGGGTGTAATAACAGCTTATTCGGTTGGCTGGTTCGTTTCGTTACTGGTTCGTGAAGAAGTACTGTTGACTGATTTATACGAGAAAAAAATATTGTTTCGTAGGCAAACGAACAGGCTGTAAGTCGATGTATGTAAACGCGCTAGAGAAGATGATGGATCTGGTGGTGGTGCGGCCTGGCTGCCTCTGCGTAGCTGCCGGCTCTCGCCGCGACACGCTGACTCACCGCCACCGCGGCCGCCCGCGTCTGTCCATTGCACCACACGGACCGAGGAGCCCAGTCAGTCTGCTGGCTCTGGATTTCCTCCTGTCATCTTATCCTGAATCCTGATGGATGGATACGTAACACCCGTACGTACTGTACACATCTGCATCGGTTTGTTATTCGCGTCTGCCTTCCGATGATAGCTACTCCTCCTAGGCCCTAGCCAGCTAGGGGAATCCAATGAACGGCATCAGGAAATGCCCGCGTAAATAAAGGCGCAAACTAAGGCCTACTTTGGCAGCCCAAATTCCCGGCGGGATCCCGGCCTTTTCCCTGGGCTAATCTGCCCCGTGCCATTCTTACCCGGGCCAAATTTGTGCGCCCTTTGGCAGCCCACCAAGGCGCGGATCGCAGCCCACTTCCCAGCGTTTTCCGCGAGGAAGAAATCCACTACTCGTTAGGCCGGGAGGGTTTCCCGTGCGACTTTGCGAGCCACCGCAAAGATCCGGCCGCCCGATCGCGAGGCCGCGAGGTTCCTCGACCTGTCGTCGACTCGTTCGCTTTACAGCTTAGATTTGCGAAGTCGCGAGGCCTCGCCGCCGCCACCCCAAAGATCTCGTGGTGGCGATACCCGATGGGCCGGCGACTAAGCGCGCAAGATCTCTCCCTACGGCCGGCGACGATCTCCCAAATAGCTTTCGGCGGTGGCGTTCCTCCGAAATTCACGGCTCCACGTCGATCTCTAGAAATCACATTGGCGGTTTGTCTCACCCACACGCCGCCTCCTCGCTCCTCCACGCCGCCGCTATCGCCATCCGTCCTCTCGCAGGTCGGTCCTCCTCCACCTGCATCTCCTTCCCCAACCGTAGTTTCTCGATACGCTAGAGTTTGACCCAGATTTCCATTGTTTCTTGTAGATCTTGGAGGTACCTGGGTCCGTGAGCCAAGACATCGCATTCGCTCCCATTGTCCCGTCCTAAGTGACAACACGATGCCGCGGAGATCTGAGTTAGTTCTCCGCTTTGCCATCGATTCGTTGCATTACATTTGTTTTGATTGGTCGGTCATGGATTCATGGTGGTTTGATGTCTTCTTTGTAGGGTTTACGTGTTGTAGCTTCATGTGCGGTGTAGGAGATGGTCAATTTGTTTGTAGATGTAGTCTTGTCTTGTTATGCAATCGGTGTTGGATCTGAAGCCTCTCAAGAGGCAGCTTGAAGAGTGTGAGATGATTTGACTTGAAGAGTGTGAGATGATTTGACTTGGTTATGAGCAGGGCGAATGATTTTTTTAGCTTAGCTGTGCTATTCTCTGAATATTGTAGTCTTGGTTTGTTCAATTTGGTGTGCTAGCCTCGCTAGATGGTGACTAGAGGTAGATTTTGATTTTACTTTTTGATCGGAGGTGACTAAGCGATGAGAGTACGACTTGGCTTAATACAATGCTCGCTTCAATAAGAGTACACACGTCAATCTCCACTCTGAATTGAGTGAATTTCACTTGCCTTAATCATTCGGTTCTTGATGATTTTGTTGACATGTATCGATTATCTTTACCTTCGAAACCGAGTTCAAGCTCGCCATATTATTGGGCCACGTCACTTGCTAGTACGCTAAACGCCGATCAGCTCTCCGTGCAAGATTAACCGTCGATACATACAGATTAGTTCGAACACATCACACGAGGCGTCTCGCGAATCATCACGAACTCGGGCTACTCGACGGGCCGAGGTCCTCATCCCCACCTCCGCGCGTATCGCGCGCCGCCTACGCCCCGCCAGAGCAGAGGAACACCAACGTTCCTCCCCCACATCTTCGCCGCCGGCAACCTGTGTCTCGCAAATTCTCGGTCGTCCGTTCACGTGCTAACGCCGGATTTCATCTGTTGCTTACGGCGGGGTGGCGAGATTGAGCCGCCGCCACCCGCACCCGCTCAAGCGCCGCCGGCGCCATGCGTGTTGGCGCTCATTGCCGAGCTGCCAGACGACGCCGCCTTACGCGCGCCCGCCGTCCACCTTGGTCGGGCAGCCGTGACGCGAGAGCTGCCGATTAAGGGTGCGATGCCTCGGTGGTGATCGACGCCACACCAGCAGCAGCCATGGCGCTACTAGTCTGGCGAAGCGCGACCGACAGGCGAGGATGGGCGATACCCTCCGGTGCAAGCAGAGGCGAAGCGGCATGTTGGAATTAGTGGGAGAAACCACCTCAGGCATTGGGTACACCGTACACAAATGCAGAATCATCCACGCTTAAAGCATGTTCTTGTCTTCAAGACGTCCATTGAACTTGGATTAGCCAGCTGAGTGCTTGGGTGGAAATTTAAAGGGACGTCCACCAACTTCTCGATGAAATGCTAAGGCGTCTGGTCCATGGACTGTGGCTATGGAAGAGACTGACATTCCATCAGCAAGGTTTGGTTTTATCCTGTTCGTTCAGTCTCTCGACAGCTCCGTCAGTCCTTGTTATGCTGCTCTGTTTCTTTGTTCTGCTATTAGAGTTCAATTATTTCGCATTTTGTGACGAGGTCTGTTTGGGGTAAAGAAATCGCTATCGTCTGATTGCTTGATCGGTGTAGAATAGTGTCATAGTGATCGATCCCATACTGGTTGTCCTCTGCTCGTTATTGAATGTAGTAGTAACTTATTTTATATTTTTATTTCTACTATATCGACACATTGCTTTCTTGTTGTCGCTATGGCATTCCAGCTTTTTCTTTTTCTTTTTAAGTCTCCATTCAGTTTTTCATAATAGTGATTCAGTTTTTTTTAACTTGTTGGCCATCGTGGTTCTTTGTATGTAGCCTTAATAACAAGTGAATTACGAAAACAAAAATGCATATTTATTTACCCTCTGTTAGTTATTGAATAGATATTTAATTTAATCTAGAAAGACAAGTATACAACTTGCTACTGCAGTACTCATTTGGTTTGGTCCTCGCTGATTATTTTGGTTGATGTATTTGGATGAAGACAAGTAGCATTGAGCATGAAGCTAGTTGTGTATTTCATTTATCTTAGTCTGACCTGATAGATAGCCATAGACATCATGAGAACAATCTCCTTTTACCTATATGTATTTTGGCCATATACAAGTGCAGTTTCCAGAGCCAGACGTGTCATGAGAGATCACCATTTTCATTAATTTTGTGTTACTGCAGATGTCTTAGTGGAAGCAGTGCATGATTTGAAATAAGTCTGGTAACTTTGGATAGTACTTGGCTAGATGCCAGAAGACATTGGATGTAAGGATGGTCAATTTAGAGATGATTGTAGTATATGATTATGACTTCCCCATTTTCTATTGGATGTAAGGATGTAGAACAATCTGTATGAATGCTACTAGTAGTTGGTCAGATGTCAGATAATACTTTTGTGTTTATTAGATTTGGTTTAAGGTCCGAGATATGTCTGTATTTGTATGGTGAGAGACTTGTACCTGAGATTTTTCATGATTTTGTGGCTCTGACATTGATATGTAGTGACTATTTATATTATTCACCTCTTTTTATTTTTCTTGATTTTTGGTGATTTTCCTGATTTTTTAAGACATGGTTTATCAATTATTTGTACTGAAGTTGTCCAAAATAGCTGAAAAAGGAAAAAGCGCGGTTCTCTTCCCCGGAAAAAGTCTGCCAAACAACGGCAAGGCAGCTTCCCCGTACGTGGATGTCTTCCCAGAGGTGACGAGGGGAATGGACGATCCAAAAAAAATTCTCCCTCGGGGCTACAGTCCCTGGCTTTATTTCCCCGTACTGCCAAAGTTGCCCCGAGGGAGAATTTTCCCCGTACAAGGGCAAACTGGCCTGTTTTTTTTTCCAAAAAGGCCAGTTTGCCCTTGGATCCAAACACCGTGTAAAAAACAACAGGGCTGGACCATGCTGAATCAAATCTAGACTAGAAGCCCAAATACTGACATGCATGCTAGCCTTTTTCATAAGCACGATTGAAGCGTATGTGTATTGTCTCCGAAGAGGCTCTCACGACATGTGAAGCACAACGAAGACACTTTACATGCACTTTTTTTTTTGAGAATCACTTTGCATGTACTACACTCACTGCACACACACACCATACCTTCTACTTCTACCCCTAGAAGCACTTTCGGAGAACTCAGACTTGGGAAATGGTATGCAAGGCAAAGGACGAGGGTGGTCTGGGTGTATCTAATCTCACAGTTCAGTGGTCAAACTAATAAAGAACAATTATTATACCTCTTAAGTTTCACGTCTTGCTAAAGAAAATTATTCTTTTTGGTGGAAAGGTATTTGCAGGCTGATCAGTTATTTTAGAGGTAACCTACATTACAAATAGCTAGGTTACACATAGATAGCTATTTGTAACCAAAGTGCGAACCCGCTGATAGTTGCTTTGTTTATTCATCTCAGTTCGACTTCTATGCACAATGCGATTTTAGCTCCGACACACAAGGTTCAAACCTCAAATGCTACAATGTGTTGTGTAACTTGTGTTTGTTTTTCTGGTCTCCCGGTTCGTGGAGTTGCTCTTAGTCTTCGCGATATATTCTTGCCACCATACTTATGATCTATCCTCAGGTCCAAAAAAAACTATATCCTCAGGTCCAAAAAAACTATGTATCCACTGTGTGACTAACTCAATACATATAACCCCTTCAAAACACACGTTAATTACAAGCGCTTGTATTGTATCCTCTGTCGCCAAAATCTCAAATCTGAAATTGAGGCTTAGATGTGTTCAACATGCATTTCTTTTTGTCTTTACATTTTTTTTACAACCAATTTCCAGCTCTTAGCATGTCCAGTTCTGCTACATTCCTCTCTTAATTTTGCTAAAAAATGCTAACATAAAGCAACGTATATATTTTAGAGAGGCATAGTTTAATGAAATTAATTCCGTATTATTTCTATATAGATTTGATCAAACATTGACTACATGTTTTAGTTTTTGTTATTATTGGTCAATCCTATCTTAATTTTGCTAAAAACATGCTAACATAAAACAACGTATATATTTTAGAGAGGCAGAGTTTAATGAAATTAATTCTGTATTATTTTTCTATAGGCTTGATCAAACATTGATTACATTGGTCAATCCTCTCTTAATAAAAAATATGTTAACATACACAACATATATATTTTAGAGAGGTAGAGTTTATTGAAATTAATTCCATATTACTTCTCTGTAGACTTGATCGGGCTAGAGAAGTTTAACTTAAACTAAAACTGAAAAGACATGCACTTTCAAACGAAGCAAGTAATCTACAATTTGTAGAGATTTATAGCGAATAAACAAAGAAAATGGAGGCCACAAAACGAATGCTCTCTCTCTCTCTGAAACAGATAACAACAATGTTTACACCTTCACTTGGAACGAATAATACTAGAAGTTGTCAAGAACTACAAAAAGCCATATTGGTTGAAGGAAGAAGTTAAACTAAATACTGCTCCAAACCAACATATTAGTCTGCTAGGTAAATCTCAGTGTAAATAATCTAAAGCGCAAGAGTAAAATTATGAATGAAGTCTAATTAGGCAGATAGATAAGATGGTAGAACAAATGTGAAGCACCTATCTGCTATCTATTATATTGCATCTAATTGTCATTTTCTACTTAGAGCATCTCCAAGAGTGTCCAAAACCCATTCCCAATCTTGATTTTATGCAAGATTGAAAAAAAATGCTCTCTAAGACTCCTTGTGGCAACTCCACTCCTCCTGCACTTGTGAAAACCGTTCCAACCGCACAAAAATATATCACCGCGTATTGACCGGAGGTGGAAAGATGTGAAAAAGAATATAGAGGAAGGACATGGTTCCCAATGCAAATGTAAAAGATATAAAGACACCCTACCATATTTTGTGAGTGAGAAAGCAGCCAACAGCAGTGGTAGTGGGCTAGTGGCTGTAGAACAGCCTGCGGAACATGCCCAATATAAAATGCTAGACCTGCTTTAGGAAGAGTCTGAAATTCCTAATGTAAAATTGCATTTTATCTTGTCGAGCAAGATTTTAGAAATAGTTGAAAAACCTAACAAATATGCTCTTTGTTTTTTAAGAACTATGCTCTTAGACAACGTGGTTTGCATCATGTTGTTTTTCTAGTTTTTTTATTTGTTTCTCTAGCCTCGGGTGCTAATCAGTCGGTCAAGCCTCCGGGTAGCATCCCCGTGTTCGAATCCTTGGTCAGGCGAATTTCTGGTCGACGGTGTGAAAAAAAACCCTCGCTTGTCCCGCGTTCCCAAAGCATATGTAAAATGATCGGTCCTCTCACCGGGTAACGGACCCCTGTGTGTGGGCGGGACATGGGGTTCAGGGGTTTTCTCGGGCTAGATGAGAAGTCCTCTACCTTAAGCTAAAATAGCTCGGGAGATGTCTACCCCTCGCTGCCCGAGTTTTTTATTTGTTTCTCTAGTTATGGGACCTATAGTCAACTAAGGGACATGCACATGGTGAGTGTTGAGTGGCACCTTTGGTGAGGATGAAAGGGCCACCAAGAAGTCCACGCCTCCGGGGGTAGTGAAGGGCCACTCTTTACTACGATTTTTCGCGGCACAATTAACTTACTAGTACATTATTACATCATATGAATAATAAATTAAACATGGTTTCTGAAAGCATTCATAAAGAAAGAGAATTTAGTAGTACTTGAGCTATTTGATATCGGTAATGCTTGGCCACGAGCTTCCGTCCCATACTGACGCCGCACGCCTCACTCTAGATGTGCTCTCTCCCTAAAAAATATCTCCTGCTCGTCTCACTCTGCCTCGCTGCCACGACCATCCCCACGCGCACGCCCCATCCTGCGCCTGGCCGCCTCACTCCGCCACCGCCCCACTCCGCGCTCACCGTCGTGGCCATCCACCGCCGCACCCCAATCCACACTCGCCCATCGTGGCCACGGCGTGCACCACGCCATCACCACCCCGGTGCCACCCGGGAGAAGGTTGTCGCTAGCCAAGACATCGTCTCCCACGGTCGGCCGGAGACACCATGACAGGAGGACCCGTATGTTGTAAATACATGTTTCAAGTGTTTTAGAGGTCTGTTGCAAGTGTTTAATATGAATATTGCAAAAGTAGATTGGGGTGTTGCATGTGTTTTAGAGGTATGTTGCAAGTGTTTTATGTGAATATTGCAAAAGTAGATTAAGATGTTGAATGTGTTTCAGAGATACGTTGTAAGCGTCTATTCAAAATGTTTCTACTGTTGCAGAAGTATGTTGCAAGTGTTTTATCGGGATGTTGCTTATGTTTCAGTGACTATACACATATGTTGCAAGCGTCTATTCAAAATGTTTCATCTATTTCAGACGTATGTTGTAAATGTTTTATTTGGATGTTGCATACGTTGCAGTGGCTATACACACATGTTGTAAGCCTATGTTGTAAATGTTTCATATATTGCAAAAGTGCTTCATGCTGCAACATTAACCGGCACCGAAAGCAGACACATGCAGCGTGCGTGCCGAAGGGAAGCGGACGTGGGTGGTTCCCACCTACATGCGTAATAGCATGTCCAGACGCGCAACATCATAACGCTTAGCATTATGCAGGGCACGCGTGGGCTTCCGGACGGAGCTAGCGTCCGGACGTCGGGCGCGCCAGCCACGCCGGTTTGATATACAGCTGAGATCTGAGAGCCTGAGACTCTGATCTGAGACTGACGGAGACTCGGAGAGCATGACGGACGGCCTCGACTTGCCGGATGGAGTCGACACTGCTCGTCGTCAGCTGGTCTGTCATCTCATCTGTGCTGTGCGGATGAGCACGAGCTTGCATGCTGTGGGCGCGTGGTTTGCTTTCAATTCCACGGCTAATCCTAACAAACAAACTAATAAGCAAGGTAACGCGCGGGAGAAGAGGATCATGGATCTGGTGGTTTGAGCTAGACGCGGTGCGGCCTGGCTGCTTCTGCGTAGCTGCCGGCTCTCTCCGCCGCCACACGCTGACTCACCGCCACCGCGGCCGGCCGCGTCTGTCCATTGCATTGCACCACGCGGGCCGAGGAGCCCAGTCAGTCTGCTGGCTAGCTCTGGATTTCCTGTCTTCTTATCCTGAATCCTGATGGGTGGATACTAGTACTCCGTACGTAACAGCTGTACACATCTGCATCGGTAATCGGTTTGTTATACGCGTCCGCGGGGAAACTCATCTGCCTTCCGATGATAGCTTGCCAGCTAGGGCCTAGGGGAATCCAAAGAGCGCATCCAGGAAATGATGCCGCCCACGTAAAGGCGCAAACTATGCCATCTCTATTTTCCCCCCTTTCATCTCCGGCCCAAATTAAAAGGCCACATGGACCGACCCGTTTGCCCTTAGATCCAAACACCGTATAAAAAGTAACAAGGCTGGACCATGCTGAATCAAATCTAGATAGACTAGAAGCCCAAATACTAACATGCATGTTAGCCTTTTTCATAAGCAGGGCTCTCAAGATATGAAGCAAAACGCACACACTTTACATGTACTACACTCGGTCACTCGCTGCACACACACCATACCTTCTACCCCTCGAAGCACTTTCGGAGAACCTACCTTAACCGGCAGATCTCAAGATTGTCAGAGTCACACAGACGTTTCGTTATTGTGGGAAACGTCCTCTATCACTGAAAGAGTAACACCGTTAAATCCTGGATAGTACGAACACTTACGTCAAGTCAAGTACTTAAATCCGAGTGGACATGCTCTACCACAAGGAACCTAACCAGCCGAGCTTCGCTCAATTCACAACACAATAATATTCAATATGACTCAAATTATTTGACATGAACTCATGAAATGAGTCTATTCAACTGGTTGGGTCAAATGCTCATGTTTCAAGTTTAAATTCTCTTCAACCCAAATTTGTGAAGTTGTTGCTAGTTCTACATGTTCCTAGGATATTCAGAAAGGCTGCAACTTATCGGTTATGTTATCACTGGACAAATCCCATATTCTTCCTGTACCTTTAAACTTCCAACCACTGTTACTAAATAAATTGATATATACCTAAAAAACTGTCTTTGCCGTAGGTCACGTATCAACAGAAAAAAAAAGTCATAACTTAGCAACTTGGGAAATGGCATGCAAGCCAGAGGACGAGGGTGGTCTGGGTGTATCTAATCTCAGAGTTCAGTGGTCAAACTAATTAAGAACAATTATTATACCTCTGAAGTTTCACGTCTTGCTAAAAAAATATTCCTTTTGACGGAAGGATATTTGCAGGCTAAAAATATATTCCTTTTAGAGGTAACCTAGGTTATCTATTTGTAACCTAGAAATTGGTAACTCTGTAAGTTTTTTTTTTTAAATGCGAATCCGCTGATAGTTGCTTTGTTTATTCATCTCAGTTCGACTTCTATGCACATTACGAATTTTAGCTCTGAGATACAAAGGTTCAAATGCTACAATGTGTTGTGTTTTTTTTTTGGTCTCCAGGTCCAAAAAAATCTATGTAGCCACTGTGTGACTAACTCAATACATATAACCCCTTCAAAACACACGTTACTTACAAGCGCTTGTATTGTATCCTCCGTCGCCAAAATCTCAAATCTGAAATTGAGGCTTAGATGTGTTCAACATGCATTTCTTTTCGTCTTTACATTTTTTTTACAAACAATTTCCAGATCTTGAGCATGTCCAGTTCTGCTACATTCCTCTGCCCACCCCCGTGTATTTTCCCCCAAAGTCAGTACCTAAAATGAGTTACTTGCTTCAGAAAATAATCTCGTGAGCGATCAGGCCATGAGACTTCGCACCCCCATGCTTAATTGGAGTTCCGATTCAGAAACAATGGTTACTCCCCTTATTGTTCCACGATTCTTGGAATCCGAGAAGGAGCCCGAGAAAGCTCTCTCGTCATCTTGACAGAGTTAAGCTGCCAAACCAAAACGATAAAGCAATATCAAGTTCCAACTCCAACGTTCAAGGCGAGCGAAAACCAGTGGTACTAACTACAAATTGTTTGCGCGAAATGTTACCTGGAGTAGTCTCCCATCACGGAAGCTAGAGTTCCTGCGCTTCAGCTCTCCACGGTGAGTCGTGAATTCCTCCAGTATTTCAGAAGCATATCCAGGCTGAGCATCTCTGCTGCGAACAGACTCGTCCTCACACTGCGTGAGAAGGGACATGTCAACAATCCCGAGATGGAGTAGCCTTTGTTGCATAATAATACTGTATATGCTAGGAAAGTGAATGGGCAATTGATAAAACCAGGTAGGTCAGGACTCCATACCACTGACGGATCAGGCGTAAAACCTTCGAGTTCTTCGTACTCGGCTGCATCTAATTCCCTCAGGTGGCTCGAATCGAAATATTTCGGGATCAAGTGCTGCCTGATGACAATGAGGAAGAAGAAGAGGAGCGGGAAGAGGATTCCTGCTACTGGTATCCATGTCATCCCAAAGACGATCAACAGATAGATTAGCTGGAAGAGTGTGAAGGCACATATTGTGTTGAAAGGCACTGACTCCATGAAGGATGCGTGTGCTCCTTCAAGAACCCTGCCAGAGTTATAACAAACAGATAATCACTGCGATGTCTGGCAGCTTCGTAGATCAAAACTGGGTTAAGCCCAGCTGAAGCACACATAGCCTTTCTTCAGGGTACATACCTAAGGTGATAAGAAATGAAAATTTTACTACAGCTAACAAGGCTTACTTGTAGCGCCTTTGAGGCGTGATGAAAAGAACTTGTATCCTCTCCCAGAACTGGTTCCCGGGAAGGCTGTCGATGGACATATAGGCAAAGTAACCCCAGAGGACTGATGTTGGTATCCTCTGAATGAGCGGCGTAATTCCGATACAACCAGCGATCAACAGGGACTGCAACAGATTGCTTACTCTCTGCTCGTTCACCCGGACAGGCAAGTAGGCATCTACATGCTTTTCAGGATCAAATACTTCAGGCACTGTCCCTGCTCCGTTCCCCTCTGGAATAATTGCATCCTTCAAGTCCTTCAGATCTTTGTGTGCGGAAACAGACTGCACAATTTTACAGATGAATTCTTAGTGCTTTTCAGGTAGTTGATGAGATTTTCGTTCCTTTTGTCTCTTACATTACACAAGTATTATCAGGATGATTTCTGGAGCAATTTCTGAAACAATGAGTAGGGGAATGATTTCAGACAGTAATATTCCACTTGCAACAAAGGTAAAAAAAAACTCTGAAAGTGAAAGCAAAACAAAATAGAGGCATCAAACAAAATGGAACAGCATTGTAATTTAGGGACAGTATGCAGTTAGCCTTTACAAATTCTAGAAAGATGTCACCATTATAGTTTTACAAACATTCTTCAACTAACTCTAATATCTATCATCTGAAATAATTGGGTGCATTTGATAAGCCACCACTACAACTAACAGAGCCTTAGCAATTCAGTAAGAAGAACATGGCATGTGACAGTGTAAATGTTTGGTGGATAATACTCACGTCGCCTCCATGGTCCATTTTTATGAAAACATCTTGCATTTTGCCATAAACTTCGGAACTGGTAGCATTATTCATCATGCCCTCCTTCGCAGTTTGGACCATCTTTTTGCGAAGCAACTATTTGAAATGAAAGAGAGCCAGAGAGGGCAGATGAGCAAATTTAATTGTATAACAGACCACAGGTATGCATGTGAACACCAACCTGCCTCTTGAGGACAGCTAGGCTTCTTGTATGCATGGGAGACTGGGGAAGTACTCCATTAGATGGAGGGATGCCAAGAAGACCACAGATCAAGGTCTACACCACATTTCCATCGTATAAGAAGAAGAAACATATTAATAAAGCGTCTGATATCATGTTTGTCTATAAAAACGCTATCACATATGCAATTTTTAACTACTATGTCCCACCATTAATTTCTTATGTTTTTCCAGTTCCATCAAGCAGTGGGAATTCATTGGTAAACTATCCAAAACTTTTTTTTATTAAGTGACATCCCTAATTTAAAACACTGCTATGTTAAAGAAGTAAGTACAAAATAGCATGACATACTGTCAAGCTCAGGACCAAAATGTCATAATGGTAGGCTGATGGGTTCTTCAAATTAAATTCCTTCTGCTGAGCCATCTGTGAAGCTACACTGTGGTCAAAGAAATAGAGCCCTGCAACCATCGCAGCAGGCACAATAGCCAGGAATATATGTGCTGGAGGGACTGAAAACAGATCCTGCAAGTTCATCAATGAAAAATGTGGAATAGCCATAAAAATATTCAATGCTCGCAGAACTGCAATTCGATCCTTAATTTTTTTTTTGAACGCAATGGCAATTCGATCCTTAAATCATTGTAACAAACTGTCTAATTACTTTTGCCACTGTCCAATGCTGGAGCGACTTGGGTTCCCAAGGAAGTGGGGTGAAGAGCCTCCTAGGGACCCCTGAAGGGATCTTGCTTGGCAATGAATATGACAATGCTGTCCATAGCATTGGCTTGTTTAGATGCAAAAAATTTTGCAAAATGAGTACTGTAGCGTTTTCGTTGTTATTTGGCAAATAGTGTCCAATCATAGTCTAATTAGGCTTAAAAGATTCGTCTCGTGGATTTCGTCTAAACTGTGTAATTAGTTTTATTTTTTATTTATATTTAATGCTTCATGCATGCGTCCAAAGATTCGATGTGACGGGGAATGTGAAAAATTTTGCAAAATTTTTTGCAAACTAAACTGGACCTATGACCATCAGTGGAACACCATAGTCAGCAATTAAGCTCCTTTGCCATCCTGCAGGTATTATCTGGAGCATTTGTAATTATTGTGCTGAAACCATCATGGAATCGAAAGTGCATATGTGCCATATGACAAACCAGTGCCGTATAGCGATGATCTTGCGCTCCTGCTGGCTAATGAAGTATATAGTACACCCATTGAAAAGATTAGTCCAAGCAGACCATTAACATATAGCCACTGGAACTGGAAAATTGGTCGACTTTGGTCATTACCCTCAGGGGCACTGAATTCACCAAACATCCCCTATGGCATATTACGTGATCAGCAATTAAAACAAAATCTGTAAATAATTCAGATTCAACAGATGTAAATTGCATACCTTGATCGCCTCTTGCATGAACAAAACTGTGATTAACATTCCAAAAAGTTCTCCAGAAAACCTTGTAAATCTGTTTAGAATAGCTGCAACGTTAAACATTGCCATGAGGAACAGCATCACAGCCGTCCAGATGCAAACCCTGTCAAAGGCCCAATGAAAAGGAAATACAAATAACATTTAGTTAGGTAACCGATGAACTAATGCAGGATATATCATAGTTTTCAGCCCTTACCATGCAGCCCATGGCAGAAACAATTTTTCTCCCAGGTTTGGTTGGTTTTTGGCAAAATTGTAGATATAGGTGTACATGATAATAGTCGGTTCTGCAACTCCCACGATCAATAGTGGCTGTCCACCTATTATTGAATGTATGATTCCACAAATAGCAGTTGATGCTAATGTCTCAACTGTGGTTAGTGTACCATCTGAAACATGTCAGTTTAATCGTCAGCAACTGTGCCTAAGAAAAAGGATTTAGGATTAATTTTTTTTATTATTCTACTATTTCTATTCTACAATGTGAATTGCAACCAATGGAGCAAACTGTTATTGTTTTTTCATATTCCCATGTTTCAAACAATAATTGACATGCTGTTAAAATGGCTATGATCTTCCCCTTTTTTGTTCTTTTTTGAGGGAGAATTTCCCCCTTTTTCTTTTTTATTACTGAGAAGGAGAGAGAGGGATAGAAGGAAAGTGCAGTGTGCCATGACAGTAACCTCAGATCAAATATTCATCCTGATGGTGAGAGCAGGACAACCAACCTGTATCTTTGCTCAATTGCTCCCCAAAGGCTATAACAGGAACTGCAGATGCAAAGAATATGTAGAGCATAGGTGCCAATATCCTGACAACAGAATTCATGTAGCACAGTGAACACGACAGGCTAAATCATGATCATGTCAAGCAATTACAGCATGCTGGTGTTGCGCAAACCTTAAACCAGAACGAAATCCATGGTTCCAGTCTTGTTTGTAGCAAGCTGCTCTTCCTTTCAAATCCTCAGACACTCCACTAAATGGAGCTTTATTAGGTCCCGACATCTGAACATGGAGGTAAGAAATAATAAAATAATGTGCTTGCAAAGCCATGGATGGGTTTTACAAACCAGCCATAAGTCTAAGTGCGTCACAAACAGTATTCACAGAAAAAATGTCTGGGGTTCCACAACATTACCGCATAATACACAGCTTATAATGAGATGTTGTCTCTGAAAAAAAAAACAAGTAGCATTAGAAGGCTGGTCAGTTGGGTGTGTGCCTATTGATTTATTACATTGCATATAACACACATGACCAACGGACTTTGACTCGTCTTGAAACCATCGCCACATGATCGAGTTTCTATTATTATTATTTTTGAACGAGATAATAGGCAAGACAGCTGACGATTATATTAAAAAAAATCAATATTACAACAGAGCAACGGGACCTTAGAAGGTTGAAGACCGACAACCACTAAAACAACAAAACCCCAAAAAGTTTCTAGTTTTTACCTTATACTATCTTTAGCTTGATATCAGCACATTTTTCATGAGCATACTGACCCAATATAGGTTTCACACAAACAAAACAGGACCATGGAAGATTACATGGGCATATAAATTTGATAGACAATCTAAACGAACGAATTTCATCATTTAGAACAACCAACAAAAATTCAGGTGGATCTCTACACAGAAGTATGCAACCAGTCAAAGGAAATTCAAAAGGCATTAGCTACACACACAGACAAGAACAGCTAGCGTTAAGGGCTCCTTTCTGCTAAAAAAATAGCAAACCCAAGTAAACTACCCGCAAATGCATGCGTGCCGTTAGGTATTAAGCACGGGGAAATTTAAGTTGCAACACCACGCCAAAATCAACCCATGAAATTACCGTATTCTTCTAAATGAAAGTTCATTCAGGTCTAGCCGTACGATACAATTGAAATCCAGCGCATGACCATATATACTACATGCGACCCCCAAATGTTATACAGGAGCTTCCGAAATGGAATAACTGCCTGGAAACGAGTAAGCCTCCATTTAGCTGAACGAATGCGATGATGGCAAATTTATCTTAAACACGAATCCAAACGACCCAGAATCGAAATCTCCCGATCGATAGACCGGCCAATTGAGCACTCAGAGAGCAACAGCAAAGCAATGCAGGCGCGTGAACACCTCTCACCTAATGGAGCGCCCCCACCCCCCCCTGGTCGTGGAGGGGGCGCCGAAGCCTAGCGGCCGGGCCACCGCAACGCGAGGCGGGGAGCCCTAGGCGTCGGTGGGCGGAGGCGCGGGGGACCGGAGTGGAGCCGAGGAGGGCGCCGGGGTGGCGAATCGGGGGAGGGCTCCCCTCCATTTTCATGCTATTTAAAGATGGCGTGGTGTCCAAATTGGTGGGATCGGCGGCAGAGAGCGGGGAGAGACAGGCGAGCAAAGAGAAAGGCAAGGCGTCGCGCACGTGCGCTGTGTGCCAGATCCAATTGCCGGCTAAAATTCGGTTTTAGCCTTTTAAAGTTTTTTTTATTTACATGTTGACCTTAAATCAAAGAAAGAATCCTGATCCTTCGAACGTGCCCACAGTGGGTATGATGCACATGTCTTTTTGACGACGTCCATGTAGTGGCCGAGGATGGGTATAGACGATCAAATGGGACAGCCCACCGCCCACATGGTCCGGGCCCGCTGAAGGCATGGTCCGATTAAGGTTGGGTCGGCACGACTTGCTCAACCCTTTGCGTCATGTCGTGCCAGCCCACGAGCTGTTCTCACGCTAGTCGAGGCCTCGAGGGCTTCATGCACCGTCATTGGGAGGGAAGGTAGGAGGAGGAGAAGAAAGTCGCAAGGAGGGGAGAGAAGTCGTGAATCAGATATGCGCGTGAGGGTGGCGGTGGATGGGAGTATAAGTGATTTTATCTCGGTAGTCTTAGGATAGACTAATCGGGACATGCTGGGTCGTGGGAGCAGCCCAGGCACGGTCTTCTCATCGGGCTAGGACGATATGGGCATAGTGGTCATCGGGTCGGACCGTGCCTAGACTGAGCCAAAATAGCAGGCCATAGGCCGTGGATATGGGCCTCGAGCCATATGGCCATCCATAAGTATTGAAATATATCTAGCAGGAATCGTGTAAAATATACGGTTGTTTTTTAGGTGTAACTAAGGAAGAAATCATATACATGTTGGTCCTAAGGCCAGTCTCAGTGAAGACTGTCCTAATTTTTAAGTTTTTCATGTGTTGGAAACAATGTAGACAAGTTTTATTTTTATGAAACTTATTTGATCCCATGAAATTTCTATTGTTTCTCTCTTCATCTATACTATGTTATATCAGTTTATTTATACCGGTAAAACCCTACTAAGACTGGCACAAGGAGCTCATTGGGTTCAGTTTCCACCCGCGGATGCCCATGGAGGTCCAAAATATATTTTTTGAATAAAAACTCATGTGTTTTATTCATAAACTATTTTATGTAAGCTATTAAGTTTGATCTAAGTTGAGTCATGAAATTATGTGTTGTTTATTGCCTCTTGTTTATACATGTGAATATGTAATATATATATCATGCATGTGTTGTTAGAAAATCCTTATTATTTTTTATATTACCATATAGTGGTGGGTTCGGGTTCGGCGATCCATTGGGTTTCGTTTTGGGTTTGGATTATCACCAAAACATTATTCGGTGCGGTTCTAGGTTTTGAGTTTGGGTTTCGTGGTTTTTCGTGGAGACTCCACCCGACCTGAATCCTCCCCGTTGTCATCTCTACTCTCCATCACGCAGCCACACAAAGCCAGAGCTCACGAAGAGGCGAGGTCGGAGGCGGTGGCTGAACGGAGGCAAGGTCAAGCTCCTCGTGCATGTCTCTCTCCCGGTAGGCACCTCCATCCCCCGACTGCTTGCGATGTCCTAGTCACGAAGCTTCTCCCGGTGGCGACAGCACCCGTGGGCGGGGGCAGGAACAACGGTGATATGACAGATGATTGAGACTCGACAGATTGAGGCTGGCGCGACTGCTCAACGATGGGGCATGCAGATCATTGCTGGCGTAGCAGATTGAGGATGACGTAGCGGATCGATGCCTGGCCGGCGAGTTGATTGATTCTGAGCTCATAGGCCAACTAGTCAAGGTCCATTGGTGGCACAGTAGCAAGGTGTCGACAAGGGAGACCGGAGGGGGGGGGGGAGGGGGGGAGTGTGTAGTAGCAGGATAAAAGAGTCATTCTCCACTTGTTAGCCCCTTTTTGCTCTCGTTAGCTCCCTTCTCTCGACTAGTGAATTAAATACTAGTTGTGGTGTGCGCAAAAAATTAGCTCCTCTTTTAGCTAGTCTGTCTGGATCCCTCTGGATTAAAAATTAGTGGCTAACCGTTAGTCTAAGGGATCCAAACAAGCCCTAACTCATAGTCGTCCTCTGTTATTTCCTACAGGGTGCACGTCCATCTCCTACCATTTCCATTCTCTTGGTTATTTGTTTGAGCTGATGAAAGCATTGAGATGTCACCTAGAGTAGGGTGGTGTCCCTAAAAAGCATAAAACCCCACAGATTATAGGACCGGAATATCTGGCCAAGTTCGAAAGTTTAGGAATTTTCGCACTGGGTCAGAATTTCCTGAACTGGGTAATGCAAAATCACAAATCAATAAAGATTATGCTTGTTTAATCGATTCTACTTGTTACTAAGGTTGTTGGACATGTAGTGAGTTGGTTTGTCACAAAACCTACAACCAAAAACACAATAACAAGTAAATAAATGTGAATAACCCAAAAGTCAAATTCAGCAATAAGAACACAAAAAAACAAGAAAAATGATGCATGATTCGTTTATCGAAGTTCAACTCACCTCTTTGACTACTTATGTTGAAGAACTCATAAGGGAGCCGTGTTTCTCTTAAGTCACTTAGCCTCGCTAAAGGATCCCAAAGTGTCTTGGCTCCACTTCCCCTCGTGGAGGTGAAATCGAAACCTTCACAAATTTTCTTAAGAGTTCGATAAACAAAGCTTAGCCGTCTAGGAGATTTCACCTCCATGAGTAACAAAACAAATGCTTGTTGAAGTTTAGAGTGCTCAAGGATGGAATTGCCATTGGGCCCCCGGACTCTCGAACCAACTTTATAGATCTTAGAAGAATCAATCAATCCTCATATAGTGGGGGACAACTTAAATGGCCTCAGGAGTGTATTCTTCATGATGGCAAATGGTTCAAAGGAGACATATTTATTAGTTTTAGTGAAATTTTATAGTGCTTGGAAATAATAAGAGCCCAACCTAAAATAAGTGGACCCGGAACCTATTTTTAATTTAATAGGAAGGACATAATAGTAATTGGGATTCTCCATTTTGATTACCGTCAGTGTTGCCGGCGCGCGTACATGATTTCCGCCGTGGCCTAGGCACCGGCCCGTGCTGCTGGACGCGTATGACTTCATCGCCACCGGCTCATGTGGAACTACGAGGAGGTGATACCGTCAAATGCCTTGTCAGACACAACCCCAAAAACCTCGATTTGCTGAGTTGGGATTGACCGTAATCTGCCTTGCAATTGAGCTCACTGCCTCTCCAGGATGGTTGGGTGCAGGTGGTTGATTTTGTCAGTCACAGCCCGGTCTGCGCCATGCCGCCATCCATGGTGATCCCCATCACATCGGCGGCCTCCTCCTATCCCCACCACTCCATGCGCTTTGGCTTTGATAGGCAAAAGTACCGAGCCCTCAGGTTCACCTTGCGGCGGCAGGCATGTCCGTGGCAGGTTTAAAGTCGAACAGCAGGCGGGAGCAACGACGACTCAGGGAGGCAAGCGCCGGCGATGCGGACGGCGGCGGCGGCGTGGTCTTGAGATCGTAAGGGCTTGTTTAGTTCCAAATTCCCAAAAAGTGCTACAGTAGCTGTCACATTGAATCTTGCAATACGTGCATGGAGCATTAAATATAGACGAAAAAAAAACTAATTGCACAGTTTGGTTGGAAATTACGAGACGAACGTTTTGAGCCTAATTAGTCCATGATTAAATACTAATTGCCAAATAAAAACGAAGTGCTACAGTAGCCAAATTTTTAAAATTCGCGAACTAAACAAGGCCTAAGTTTCATGCGCTAAAGAAAAAGGAA